CAAACAAACATAACCAGGAAAATTTGATAAATGATGCTAACCAATTATTTTCGATGATTGATCGGTTGTAATGAACCAATCATCAATTATGAGATTGTAACCAATTCCCAACACTAATGTACACACAAGTAACATCCTACATTATATGAGTTATGACAAATAGGAAGTATAACTAATGAGAAAGAATCCATTGATCTGTCAGTGCTACATAGACCATTATGCTCCAACAAATAAATAAGTGCCATTATTACAGTGTATTATCACATTCGCAAACATACACAAATATCATTACGTATACAATTTGTTATCATTGTGTATAATTCTAAGATAACTACCTTCATATAGGTGTCCTGATGCTCTCAAAAGAGGCTTCTAGGTCATTTCAAGCCCACATTTTGTGCTAAAATATGACAGTATTATTGTAAATATTGTGTTGATCAAAAAGTCTAATCAGAGACAAAATCTACATGACCGTTTTAAACAGGGTTTTACGGGACTTCTGATTCCTGCGTATTGGAAGCAGAAATTTGATGATGTACCCCCAAACTAAAATCATGTGCGTTCATGTGGACGCAATATAGTTTTTTTTTCGGAAAGAACTAAATGAATTTGTAATGATATCCCATATTAAAATATAAACAATCATTATTCTAATGACATTGAAACTAACACATATAGTTTATAGCATAATCATTATCAAATGGGAAGCATCCATGATCACTGATTTCATGCAAATTGATGGACTCCCAATTTTCGAAATGGACTCTCAAAAAATATGATCTGAGTCCCCAAGACTATCAGTTTTGAAGAACTATGTAAAACCCTGGGCCTAGATTTTCGAAGCTCTCTTAGCACTAAGATAGTCGTAAGTTAATGTTAATGTATGGCACTTACGACTATCTTAGCTCTAAGAGACTGAGAGCTTCGAAAATCTAGGCCCAGGTTTTAAGTACATGGCTGCTGCATTGACCACAGCTATTTCCTGTGGAATTTGCACTGCAATGGTTATTTTTCAAAAGCAGCAGTAATGAATAAGTATCTTCCAAAAGCAGCAGTAATGAATAAGTATCTTCCAAAAGCAGCAGTAATGAATAAGTATCTTCCAAAAGCAGCAGTAATAAATAAGTATCTTCCAAAAGCAGCAGTAATGAATAAGTATCTTCCAAAAGCAGCAGTAATAAATAAGTATCTTCCAAAAGCAGCAGTAATAAATAAGTATCTTCCAAAAGCAGCAGTAATGAATAAGTATCTTCCAAAAGCAGCAGTAATAAATAAGTATCTTCCAAAAGCAGCAGTAAAGAATAAGTATCTTCCAAAGTATCTTCTTGGATTTTGGTAGACAATTGAGACCTCTGCAATCACCAGGTGTTAGTGTGGTTAATTGTGCTCTATGATGATAACTGTAATAGTAGACTTGAGCCATCCTGCTACTGTCACCATGGTGATATCCATGGTACACATAGGTTTACATGATAAGAACAATTATTTCCTGTGGCTCAGGGTCATCCACTAATACTACAGTGCTCTGACTGGACACAGGTACCTGTCTGGAGCATCCACTAATTTGTGGTGCTATGTCAGAGCTACCAAAGTGATGACACAACATGTGTCTTCCATCTCTGTCTGTGAAGGCAAGGATGGTGACAAATGAAGGAAGGCATTGGCAAAAGGTGCTGTTCTTACTCATGGATAGAGCATCTATCCGAAGAGCAAATGGGTCTGGTAAAGGGTTTTTATATTGAATGGGAACATGTTGAAAGAGTTCACAAAATGATTGATATAAAAGGTATCCCATCATCAATGAGATACACCAGACTATCTCCAGGTGGAGAGACCATTTTGTGGGAATAAGTCTGTGCCTTGTACAGAGGCAGTCTGCAAGAATATTAAGTTTTCATTGTATGTGATTTACTAAGACTCTAATCTGCAGCTGATCAAGACTGCTGAGTGAAACAGACCTATTACATGATACAGACGTAGTTGTGGACTCAATTTTATGACTAAATGTTTAGCCCCCCGTTCTTGATAATTTACATGAAGGGCTTGACCCTCTTGCGATCATTCTCCCTTGGTCATTGGATCATCCATATGAGCTCCAACCTGCACCAGTGGAACTGATACCTGGATCCATTTTTCCACCATATGTAGTGATCACAAGGTAGTGCTCAGTCATTAACAGACACACTTGGCAAAGAATCACACAAGCCATGTGAACAGTAGTATTTTTAGTAATCCTTTTCATTGGAAGTGTTATAAAGTTGAAGGAACAACCCTGGTGATAACTGAATCAGATATAAAATTTGCATGATAAGCCTTCGTCAGTTTGCTGACACTGACAGTTGACCACTCACACAGACAAGAAGTGATGTATCCCCATGTTAGGCTTGTCCAGATTAGATTTCATAATACTGCTTGTGAAACTGCTCTGTTAACTGACAGTGAAAGTCGTGATTTTCACAAAGTGAGCTTAACAAAAACCAAAATTATGTCATGAGATATGGCAAAGATATAATGGAGGCAAGGTAAATGAGGGGGTTATACACTTCTTCTTTTCAACTGAAACATGTCAAGAAAAAGGAGTTACCCCTAGAAGATACATATTTCTCAACAAGCAAATATTCTTGTTTTGTCAAAGAAATCATTTAACAAGAATCATCACTTTCACAGATACTGCTACACAGTTTTATTCTACAGTGCTACAGTTAGAAAAGATTAATGCTACCATCTCTGCATAAAGAAACATCAAATCAGGAAACAGTACCAATATCAAAATGTGAACTCAAAGCTGTAAGTTAATAAAGTGAATATGAGAGAGACATGTAAAATGGAACAAAACTATTATCATAAAATGCTATTTTCTGACCATAATTATGTACACGAGTTCCCAAACCAATAATCTTAATAAACTGTGGTGGACATCAAAAGCATTTGTTGAATCTAATAATACCCCTTGATGATGAATTATGACTCAGTCAACTGTTAATTCTATCTAATCACATTCAGTTTGTACCAAAATGTGAATAAAAAGACAGCTAGTGGCACAATTTTCACCAGAGTTCATTGTTTTTAAGGGCACAATATAATCTGAGATAACTTTTCTGAACAGAATTTTATTCAGCCAAGTGGCTTAAATTTCAGGATTGCTCATTGTGTTATCTTCTCGTTATCATCAAGAAAAAGATAACACATAGTGACAAGGTGAATCATAACAGGAATACAGATTACAGATAAGCATTTGATTCAGTAGTGACAGCTTTCAACAACATGGAATGAATGGAAAAAAGAATACAGACTTTGCCTAATATACACATCGGACCATTAGAAACTGACAAAAGGTGTGAATAATAAACCAAACACAACAAGTAAAATTTGTGTCTACTCAATAAGTGGTAGTCAACAGACATGATTTTAGTAATAGTTACAAATTGGCAATCTACTTCTTTGGCACTAAAGTATACAAAAGAATATATAGACGGTCCTAAAAAGATTCAATTTTAGATGGGTGATCTTTAAACACTATGTATTGAAAGACCCAAAAGTAAGTCATAGACGCTTATTTGATCAGGGCTCTTAATAATGTATTACAGCAAAAACTGTATCACAGTACTAACCATCATTTCTCAAGGTCAGATAGTACTTTTTCAGGTTTGATCACTGGTGCCTGTATTGTCTGAAACTACATCAGCACAACAGATCCTGGTTGTACATTATGCACCCAGAATTGAGCATGTTTATGTTGATTTGTTCAATTTTAATTGTTGACAAATGGTCATACTGAATTGAAATGTGGTGATGCTGGTACAAAGTGAAGTTTTCGCCTTGCCCCACATCACTACAATGAATAGTGTGGAAACACCACTGAGGGTATCCCATTCAGGATTAAATTACTACAAGATATTGTGAGTGCACTTCATCTTCTCCAAAATAAGTGGTGACCTCTTTGAACAAGGGTCCTTAGGGAGTTTGAAAATATTTGTATTAGACTTGAAAAAAAGAAATAAAACAAGGTTTTTAACATTAATACCCTATACCAGTATGAGGTGGTTAGAGCGGCAAGAGTTCCGCCCGTGACCCCTGCTTGAAATGTATTCTATTCATTAGGATCATTTCGTGGGTTTAGGGTTAGGTTTGGGGTTAGAATTTAGGGTTAGGTATAGGCTGTTTATAAAAAAAACATAGGCTTATATTCTTAGGCATATAATAATAAAAAAAATATGGGGGTTACGGACGGAAATCTTTCTAACCCAGGACAATTACATCTTTAGTTTATCACAAGTTTATCTCAGCTCACACTCGGATGATGACAAAATATCAAAGATAATAAATACCAACTAGTCCATGATAATGTTAACGCCATGTTAACTTTGGGAGAACCTTTGGTATTATCCTGAAACTTACAAGAGTTCATTTGAAACAATAATCATGATAACTGTTAAGTAACAAGGAGGCTAATCTGTGCAATGTGTCTTTACCCCGTTTACAAAGATACAGTTATAAAAAAGGTACACACACATCCTACAAGCTAATGTTGTGTACTTATGAGATGACGTATATAAACATGTGGCACCTAACAAGAACAGCCATTCCAGAATTCTGCCCAGTAGTTTATGTTAAACCTTGACTGTTCGCTTTGTGTCGATATATTTTATGCGAATTCATTCCAGATTCTAACCATCTAAAAACGCCTGTGCTCAACTATTTGGAAGATGAACACATTACTAACTGCCTGATGGGAAATATTCCGTCGTTCAAGCAAAGCTAAACAGCATGTATGGTGTATAGCTAGTGATATTCGGCAAGTTCGGCGAAGAACGGTTGAATAGTAAACAATGACACATGACAAATAATCAAGCAAATAAGTCAAGAGAACTACGACCAACAAAACATTAATGCGGAGCACTGAAGCTTGGAGTCGGGAGAAACACCGGCTTTTAAAATGTCAGCTGTATGAAGGACGATTTCTAAATTATTATCGCTTATCACTCGCTAATTAACATTACCTCTACATGTTGAAGCTAAGCTCCAAGACAGTGTGGCATAATCCAAGTACAGTAACATCTTTAAAGGTGCAGATACACTTCTGTCAAACGACCCACACTGGCACAGGAACTGGCTTGACGTCACCTATAGCAACCAATCACAGCGCCACCTGGCGTCAACTTCCTGCTTGTCAGTTCTATCAATCAAAAACGAAATGGGCTCGACAACTTAAATTACGGGCAAATGGAATAGCTAGCCACAGGACGCAATCTATGGCAACCGAGTGGAGCTAAATATAATCAAGATTTCTGACTAAATGACTATTAGTTGCTTATTACACGGATGTAAAGACGTGGGCAAAGAAAACTCAACTCACTCAACGCAATACATCACCAAATACTATATAAGCGTCGAAAGCATTATCATAATCCATTGTACGATTCCGACTAAATGATGCACATAGACAAGTGCCGTGCACGTGCATAGCTAGTATATGGTCATGGTTAAGAATTGGGACGGGTCGTGAAGTGAACAATGTTCTGAAAAAAAAAAAAAATACAAATAGAGGGTTCGATTTCGCGTGCGCTTATTTGGTGTGGGATTCTAAAGGCAGGCCATACTTTCTTCCTGCATGCAGAAAATTATAAGCTTATGTTTATGTCATAATCATATCACCAATTGTTCAGGAATAGCTGAATGTATTTTGCTCCACCAATGGCATAGATCTACGTCACAAATTAAACACGTGCAAAGGCCATTCAATTGTTTACCTGAAAATCGCATGAACATAATTGTGCAAGTCAAAATAGGAATTTCATCGGATACCATAAGGGTCACTGACGTGACAAATTCAGAAATGTTCTCCACTTATAATCTCGAACAAACAATTTAACTTCTGAGTCAGAGGCCCATATGCACGTGTTACAAAATCTTCAATCCTTTATGTCTCAAATCTTAAAGAATTGAATTTTTTTTTAATCATACGTTGAACTTTTGAATTGGTCCCTGAAAGTTTTACTTTATTACATTCATATTTGTGCAGTACGTGTACATATGCTATACGTACGAATATTCGTGAACATGACCGATGTTCATATTATTTATTACCTAGTTTGTTTTCATAAGCGTGCTGTATCTAATTCCATATGATATTCCATACGTCATGTTTCTTGACTCTAATACCTTGGATGCAGAAAATACAACTACAGAACCAAATCCTCTTTTAAGTAGAGTTTCCAAAGTTTAATAGTCATTTTAAGATGGTCCTACTCGGCTTCCGTATAATGGCCATCCCATCCTGGAATGTGCTATTTCTGGGTTCCATGGGTGATAGGATTCCAGAATAATTTCACTGTCTCGAATAGGCAAGAAATACAATGAGACAATATTTATCTAGAATACAATAACTCATTACTCAGAATGTTTTACAAAATGTTACGGAATCATTACTAAATAAAACTAACACTTATCGGATAACAATTTCCACTCAAATACAATGGAATCACCTAGCAGGTTGGGCATCCCGCCAAAAAAACTTTCGTGTTGAAGGAGCGTGTTTCAGGTAGGTTATGGACTTTGACAACTTTGTAATCAGTTTCTGTTAATGTGTGGAAGTGTTTTAGATATTATGTATTATTATGACAATAAGAGATTCTTGTCGAGTGAATGTAAAATATTCTGTTTAATCATGGGCGCTTGAAACATGTAGGCAAGGACCTAACTAGTCCAGCATAATTTATAACTGGACGACTTTGCACTATAATCTACCAAGGTGTGCTAGGACCTAACGGTTGACAAAATTGTTCGTGCAGTTTTTCAGAAATGGTACCCATAATTAGGCTAGCCTATTTTGTGGTATGACATGTTTTTGCCTTTTGTTCAAATGCTGTTGTGTGTGTTTCAGTGTTAAAAATGTCTTCGGGAGAAGTTGGAGAACTAGGGAAGAAAGTCAGAACACCCGAGTGTGCTCGCTGTCGGAACCACGGCATCATCAGTGTCTTGCGGGGACACAAACGGTTTTGTCAGTTCACTAACTGCATGTGTGCAAACTGTATTTTGATTGCACAGAGACGAAAGGTTTCGCGGGAGCAAATAGCGTTACGAAGGCGGCAGGAACAAGACGAGGCAGCCGGGTTGTTCATTCCAGTACCCGAAAACTTATTGAAAGGTAGGCCAAAACATCGACTCCGTGAATAAATTCTCGGTACTTGTGAAACTAGTTTTAAAAAACATACCGGGAGGATCAGATGCAGGAATTTACATCTCATTGACCACAGCAACCTATCTAAAATCTACCCCAGAATATAGTGCATGACTTCAGTTGTAACCGGACACTAAATAAATGCAGGCATATATTGGGCATAGATATATATATTACAAGACTTAGACATAACTAATATTACTAAATATATTTCATTCACCCGAGGAAGGGGCAAGAAAACGTTGTGTATATGATAAAAAGAAGTTGACATCCATAATATTTTTGTCTTTTACTTGAATACCAGCTTCAAGAAACTAAATATATCTGAATCTGATGCTAAGGGTAAGTAAGTTTAACTCATAAGCCTGGGCAGAATATACATTATTTTAACTGAACACTCCTGACAATAGTAACTATGAAGTGAATAAAGTGACAGCATATTTCTAAACAACATCTTTAATGTTCTGCTTTCTATGTGTCCCAGGTGTGCCAACAGATGGAGTTGCCATATGCCTAATGTAGATAGTAGTTGCCACTATTCTTCTCAGAACTGTAGAAACAAACACTAACAAACTTGTGCATAAATTTCCTAGATGTCAAAACAAGGTGCAATCCCTGATACCCAGTACGCCTTAGGGAATATAAGAATGATGTTTCCTCCAGCAGTAAGAGTTTGAAATTAAGATGATCCTGAGACCTTTGGTGTGTCATCCAATACTATTTGAATCTAGTGATGCCAGTAAAAGGGCCCTTTGACTTTCATGCTTAGTTTTGAACACTCTAATGCATGTTTACATTTCCTGATTTATCCAGGTCACGGTAGCAGTGCAATTGGTTGTCATCTCAAGATGCTGAAGCAGAAGTTCCCCAACATGAGTCTAGGACGGATCCATGCTGTACTAAAGGACACTGGCAGCATGGAGCAAACCATTGCTAGACTACAGAAAGGTACTCAAACACATCAAGGCTGAAAATTGCAGTGTTAATAGCATGTTCAAATATGATAAGAAACAACTCCCAAATTCATATTGGTTGATATGTTCATAACAAAATAACTTCATGAAGTTGGGAAGATGTAAGGTTAAGTACTCAGAAGAAAAACTGGGTCTGTACATTCAACTTGTAGTAGAGAAAGTCTAGGCCCAATTATACACTATGTCATGTCAGTGATAGACTTAAGATAGTTGTAGATATAGGTTGTTTTATGCAAGTGGGCCCGGTTGTACTAAAAATACTCAGTTATTGGTTCCTTCAGACATGCCATATGAAGTTGACAGGGACAGTTTTATTTTTATTTATTGTAGTGCCACGAATTTGTATTGTATATTTATCACAGCAACAAGGAGAAGTTTGCATAGATTTTGTATATCTCAACATGGAAGTATGTTTGGTGGTCTAATATATGAAGGCAACTTCGCAAACATAAAGGTATATTTGCATCCAAGTCATCCAAGACCAGGAAATACTTATTCCATAAAAAGACAGCCATATATAGCTGGGATATTGCTCAGTGCAGCGTTAAACAACAAGCAAACAAATGAAATTTAAATATTAGCCAGATGTCCCATCATTACATGATTGAAATACAATCATACTCCTGGCAAGAAAGACTTACCCATTTATGATCGTGCTGTTGAATTGAGTAGGTTATCATCAGTTATATAAATAAACCAATAATCAAAATTACGTTCTGAATTATGTGAACTTTAAAACAATGTAAATGCGCTTTTTGAAAGTGGTTTCGATGAGTGTCAGTAAATGTTTCATTTAAATAATGATTGAATACGGTCAGTATACAACTATACATCATGGGTGTTGGCTATAAAGGATGTAACTCTCTCTAACAACCTGAATCTCAATCGGATTGACATGTGTTTCGTTCATGTATAACCTGGAATTGAATTTTGGGACTTGGATTTGTGTGGAACCAGTTCTTCCCCTGGTGGAATATCTGCAAATTGTGCAAATTGTGCCAATTGTTCATGTTTCAGAGGAGCTGGGGCGAGATGCATCTGAAAGCACCTGGAAAGTCAACTACAGTGAGTGTTTTCACATTAATGCATGACAACTCAAGCTTAGATTAGTTTAATCTGCAGATAGGGAAATTTCTTTTCTATTACATGTGAAGCAAATTTAACCAACACAGATATAAGAAAATAGAACATTTTTCTCAATTATTAATTCTGATACACCCTTGAGTCAGAATAAGGACACTTTCTGGAGAACTAGATCAGTTTAGTTTACAAATAAAGGAAAACTTACAGAAATCCTTTTGAAAGTTTTCAGATTTGTTCAGTGAATATTAGGAATGGTTATTCTTGTTTAACATTATTGCATTGAATTCAGTTTTGAAATAACTCAGAATTTAGGAAAATATTTATTTTTAAACCCCAGTTTTGAACAAAATAATGTTTTTAGTTTGTAACCCAAATACCCCTGAATCAGAGAAATTTATGTTTCTCTCAGTCATTGTTGGTAGGTATTTTGAAATCTCAATGGGTACAATTGATATGTTATGAAATACAGGATTATGGTTTTAGAGCATAAGATATAGAGCTCCAATTTTAGTCTTAAAAATGTTATATTTACTATTTCCATTGGACAAACAAATGCCTTGTTATGCCTTGTAGATTGTAAAAACAGTGAAAACTAAAACTGAACTTTGCTCTTTTCTCCTATTCCTTTAAGGTCCCTCCTCAACGCCTTGTGACATCGGCCTGGGTTCCAGCATGTTGCCCAAGACTGAACCTCCTCTCCTGCCCAGTGAGTACTGTGGGGGCAGCACCTACTACTCCCGGGCCCCATCGTACAGCTCCCTCCACCACCTGTACAGCACCTACCCCACCTACTGCAAGACCAGTCCAACCAGCAGCCCCATGCACAGCTACAATGTAGCCGACTACCAGTATCAGCAGCCACCACAGTTCCTCCCATCTGCACCTCCAGTCAACAGCCACACCCCCCAGGGGTATCAGCTGATCAACGCCATGGACCTTCCATACAGTCAGACTACATCTACTGAACCTGGGCTGTCCACAAAGGAGCTGAGTACAAGTCTTGCTCCGTACACCAGTCTGCGTGATGATGCTGATGACATCGGGAAGACGTCGGCCCACTTCCCCAACCAGTCCCCCAGTAGGATGTCATCAGATGATGAAGGAGCCCTAATGATAGACTGTTGATTTTGTTCAGTGATGCAATCTTCCCCCTCCTGTCAGCTTGTGGAGACTTCATCACACAGAGAAGGAGTTCTTATGATAGACGTCTCATTTTCCCAAGCATGTTAGGCTTTCATCAGGTGGTCAGGGGGCTGTTATCGTATGAATGTAAAGTTAAGCATGAAATGCAAGAGCTCTTGTCATTGCCGAAACAAAAAGATTTAGTGGACCCCTAGATTCAAATGCTAGATATGAAAACCTCAGGAACCACTGGACCCTCCATAGTCATGAACATTTTGTCCATGTTATAACCTTAATGTTACAAGTGAGGGAAATAGCCGGTCCCCAGATTGAGTTCTGTAAGGGAGAGCCACAAGGATTTCCAGGGTGGTAGGGTAGCCAAGTGATTAAAGGATTTGTTTTAAAGGTCCAGGTTTGATTCCCCATGTGGGGTACAATGTCTGAAGCCCATTTTTGCTGTTTCTCCCACTCCAATATTTTAAAGTTGGGGGGTTGGCTGAGCGGTCTAGGCATCTGAATTTGTGTGCTGGCGATTAGGTGCCTGACTCTGAGGGTGTGGGTTCGAATTCCGGATCGGACTCAACCCCCCAAAAGTACTAGAATCTGTACTTTACTGAGAAAGTGTAATCCCAAATATAACATATGTTACATTTGACCACCTTCTAAAATGGCATTGTGTATTTCAAGGCATTACAGGATAACCTTTACATAAAGAAGCTGGGGTGTGCTGGTGGATGAGTGAGTGCTAATGTCTATTTTCCTGTCAAGTACTGCTAATATATGTACATGTGAGGAAACAGAATCAACATGTGAGGTTCGTGTCATCAGGGGGTATCATGTCAGTATGCTACATCCCATCACCCTTTGATAATGGACACTGCATTCCCCTGCCATGTTCTGTGCAAACATGATTCTTGTCATTTATAACCTGTCAAATTATATTCTTTGGATATGGTTGGACGTAATGTAGAACCTCAGTGGTGAGGTATTGGAACAGTACAGAGCAACTTAAAATTATAGAAGAATGTCCAATCATACCAAATAGTGGGTATGAGTTAATGTTTGAGACTTCTGTCCACAGTAGTCCGTCTCAGTCAGAAAATAGAATCTGGCATGAAGACACACGATCAGCCAAATCACAGACACTTGCTGTCCAGGGCCATGTGTCTCTTGCAAGCTGAAATGGGACATTGGGAACCTATCCTATGTTAGGTCCTAAAACAAACTAAAGATACCAATACTGCATGTGAAAGATATACTGAATTAAACAAGAGTCATCACAAGATGACAAATCCCCCCCAGGCCCCCATAAATTTGAAAGAACAAATCAACTGACAATTACTTAAAGTCCAACTTGATTTTTTGTGACTAGGTCCAAATTGTTTCCATGGAAATCATGAAAAATAAAAATGCCAAAAATCTGCAAATAGCAAAAGGCAATACTTTAAGATCTGTTTGATATATCTGTCAAGTCTTGTAGAAGATATTGAACGGTTTTCAAGTTGTGATCCAGAACGAAACCCACCCTTTCTTTTTGAGGCTGTCTGAATCGTTTCCATGGAAGCCGGAAAAATAAAAATGCTAAAAATCTGCAAATAGCAAAAGGCACCACTTTAGGTTCTGTTTGATATATCTACCAAGTCTTGCAGAAAGATATTGATCGGTTTCTGAGTTGTGCTCCGGAAATGAAGCTCACCCCTCTCTTTTGAGACTATGTCCAAACATTTCCATGGAAACCAAGAAAAATAAAAATGACAAAAATCTGTAAATAGCAAAAGCACTTTGGGATCTGCCTCACATATCTGCCAAGTTTTGCTGACATATATTAAGAAGTTTTTGAGTTGAGCTCCGGAAAGGAAGCCCACCCATACCTTTTGAGACTAAGTCCGAATCCAAACCAAGTAAAATAAAAATGGCAAAAATCTGTAAATAGCAAAAGGCACCACTTTTGCTTATGTTTGATATATCTACCAAGTCTTGAAGAAAGATATTGAACGGTTTTCGAGTTGTGCTCCGGAAATGATGGTCACCCCTTTTGAGAGTAAGTCCAAATCGTTTCCATAGAAACCAAGAAAAATAAAAATGGCAAAAATCTGTAAATAGCAAAAGACACCACTGTAGGTTCTCTTTGATATATCTACCAAGTTATGGTTTGTTGAAAAATATTGAACATTTTTTTAGTTATGCTCCGGAAACAAAATGATTACGGATTGATGGATGAGGTGTCGACTACATCCCCCTGCATTACATGCCGGGGGGATAAAAATGTGAGCAATTATGCTGTAATTTAAAAATTAATAACTGTCTGAAGTGTGAACGTTGACTGACTAATATAATATACAGTTATGCCTCTTGAGAGCAAAAAACAAAACTTTAACTTCAAAAGCTTGATGCACACATTGAGTGATATTTGTGCTGGTTGAGTGATCAGACTACTCGAACATTTTACCTGATATGTGTGACATTTTGTTGAACTAAATGATGTCCTAATAAACGTTGCCCTTAACAACATTGACCATTCACTTCAGGTGTTAGGTCAGTCCACTTTGGTTTCTAGTGGTGTTCCGATGATCAGAAATCGATAGAAAGAAGGATTGAAAATAATTTTCGATTGTAAAAAAACCCATATTTTCCATTAATCACAATTTTGTTTAAGTATTACACTTTAATGAAGCAAACTAACCATTAAATTTGACGAATATTCACGAACAAACATGCGCTCAACAGTGAAAAGCTATACGCATTATATTCATAGTTTCGTATTCATCACTACGGTAAATATTACTGTAAACTGTCTGAATAAATGAGATATACTGATAATATTTGTTGTATAAATAAACAGAATAATTTGTTTGTAGAATGTAAAATTTACACATGAAAATATATTGTTAATTAGAAAAAACTGGAAAAACCCTTAAAATTGTTGATAACATTAAAAATGTATATATTCGATTATAATCGATAGTCGTTTCAGATTCCCAACACTAAGATCAACCATGTCACAAATTTTACATGTGTTACTTGGAAGACAGTGTTCACTCTTTCTGGGAAGATTATTAACTTGTCCAACCAGACAGGTTATATGCATTTATGTAATGATGAGGCCAATAAGACATGTTTCATGGATGGTTCCAGCAATAACTGGATTAATATATGTAAGTGGAGCGTTATCACTGAAGTGCTGTAAAAATGGAATGTAAATTTGGTTCACTTGGATTTTTTAAATAAAATTTATATAGTTTAATGTGGAAAAAGTATTTGTTTTTGTAAGGATGTGGTACTGTTAAGTTGAGGTTGTTGCTTGATCCCGTGTTACTTGATGTCCGTCATTTCAAAAGTGATCATTTATTAAAATATAACAGCTATTCCTGGCTAAAGGTAAAACCTCTATTGATGTAGTTACAGTAGTATATGTCCTAAGTTTGTCCTGGTGCCTGCTGAGGAGTTAACATATGGTAGTTATATGGTTGTTATTTCAGTTTTCAATGTTTCTATATTTTCCTTTTAATCATAAAATTGACAGTTGATATGAATTCCATCTTTCAATGATAGTATATGTTGTTTTTGTGTTTTGGAAATGCAAAATATTTTTAACATTTCATAGTTTATTTTTGTACAATAAATGTGTCTACTGCAGTACAAGAGTTTTGTCCTCAATGTCCAATCTCAACTGACCTGTGTTTGCTGTGTGAGCTGTCATCATTTATCCGATGGATATAGACATGTGCAAATGTGTGACTGCTTGTACCAGTCTGATTCAACAGTAATGATAGTGTGAGCCCATTGAGATACCATACCTTGTATATGTTACAGGGAATGTGTGAAACCAGGGATTTCACGTAATACCTAAAAGATTCAGTGATTTCGTGAAATCACTGTGACTCCCAGGGATTTCATGTATTCCCTAAAAGTTCTAGGGATTTCGTGAAATTACTGATTTTCATGATGTTCCATTACACACATTCCCTGTTAGGATATCAGTGAATGTGTTAAAATAATGTTTGTAGCTTAAAACTTTACTGTCGAGTCTCATTTGAGTTGAAAACTTTGACAATTTACCGATGACACGTTTGCTAATTAATACCTTGAGTCGGGGTACCAAGTTAATTTTCTTATCGCGGCATCACACTTGCTAGTGCATCTTATTGTCATGATTAATACTTTGTCGTTGGATGTTGATATAAGGATATCAACGTTGTGTATCAATATTCCTTTGGTAGTTTTAAAAGTTACAGAGGTTGTTTTTAGCGATTTCGTTTTTATATGGAAACAGGACCTTTTACAAGTTGGTGGTTTAACTGGTAGGGGAGGTAATAAGTTACACACGTACTGTAGTTGGATTTTTGCAGTGATTTTTATGTTAATTGTAATATGTCTCGCTCTATGAGAAAAGCACTAGCTTGGTTTACATGTGTGGTAACGCCGCTTAGAATCGAAACTGAAAGAATTTGCTTTTAAAGTAAAGATTTTATTGAAGATGAGTGTCATGTTTTATTGCTGATGAGCGATTGCAACTTTTTAAAATCTGGCTAGCTTGTCTAGGTGTATCGTTTTTATCCGTCAAAACCTGCCTTAATATTCTTAAAAAGCGTACTTCAAATTTGTATATATCTTCTTAATGTAATTTGTACCCTTATTATTGCATTTTTAATATTCATATATTATACTCTGTATATTGTGGCACAAGTCTCTCATAATTCTGTACGGAATGGCTCAACATTTTTCTGTGATATAGCATTTAAAAATTTAGCACGGTTTTTCAAAAGTTTTGTTTTCTTTATTGAAAAAAGGCATTTTAAGTTTAAACAGACTAGGCCATTCATAGAAATAACTTGGAACATACATCATCCCGCTGTTGAAGAAGAGCTTTGGGATATGGGTTTGGGAAAGAAATGGTATTTTTCAAAGCACGTATTTCATGTTTGTCCTCAGCGTCTTCACTCTATGAATGATGTGACAATGGACAAAGAACTGTTCCTCAACCACTGCTGTGATTTTCGAGTCGAATTGTGGTGGTCAGGGTTTCCAGAAATGTAATTGTGGTCCTAACCAATGTAAATCGATATGTTGTAAATGTTTTAAAGTGCTACTGAAGTGTCCAAACAAATGAATTTCATCAGCATATACTCTGTACTCGCATTATACATTCGGTGTTCTCTATTTCAATAAAGGCTTACAGGGATTTCATGAAATCCCTGTGCTCATATTTCAGTAATTTCAAGAAATCCCTGGCAATTTTAGGGAATACATGAAATCCCTGGGGGTCACAGGGATTTCATGAAATCACTGACTTCTTTAGGGATTACGTGAAATCACTGGTTTCACACATTCCCTGTAACATATATCCCACTCAGACACATTAGACTGACTCGGAGACAACCACCTGATATCCCACTCAGAGACAACCACCTGATATCCCACTCAGAGACAACCACCTGATATCCCACTCAGACTCATTAGACTGACTTGGAGACAACCACCTGATATCCCACTCAGAGACAACCACCTGATATCCCACTTAGAGACAACCACCTGATATCCCACTCAGACACATTAGACTGACTCGGAGACAACCACCTGATATCTCACTCAGACATATTAGACCGACTTGGAGACAACCACCTGATATCCAACTCGGACACATTAGACTGACTCGGAGACAACCACCTGATATCCCACTCGGACACATTAGACTGACTCGGAGACAACCACCTGATATCCCACTCGGACACATTAGACTGACTCGGAGACAACCACCTGATATCCCACTCAGACACATTAGACTGATTCGGAGACAACCAGTCGTGTTGCCCCCGTTATGTTGAGCGCCAGACAGAAAACAAGTGTCATCCTTTCCCTTCTTTTGGTATGACAAGGCTTGGGATTGAACTGCTAGTATTTTACTCAACAATATGACCTGCAATGTGTCTGGAGCACAACTCGAAAATGTTTTAATATCTTTCAGCAAAACTTGGCAGATATATGAGGCAGATCCCAAAGTGGTGCCTTTTGCTATTTGCAGATTTTTGGCATTTTTATTTTTCCTGATTTCCTAGGAAACAATTTGGACATGGCACTTTCTTAAAGATGAAGGTTTTATTCCGATATGGTTAAAATATTTATAAAAGGAAAGGACTTTTATGGGACACAGTTAGCACTGTAATGCCCCTATGGTACAGTGAAGATAAAGCAGTATTGCACAAGAGGTCGTGCAGCAACCCTCATTCTCAATGCTGGATTATTTGTAACAAACAAATGGTATTAGAAGGTACTTTAATTTCAAAAGAACATCTTTTAAAAATATTGCATTCTGCCCAAAGACAGCTTAACACTGTCGAACAATTCCCCTGAAAAAAATACACATTTGTTCATTCTATGACAACAGACTTCACAATTATATGGAAACCATATGAATACTTTCTTTGAAGGCTTATAATTCAATGCAAATACCATTGGCACAGGACTATCAGACATTTTCAAATCTCAGTGTATCTTATTTGTTTGGACTTGTGATTATAAATAAACTTACAAGTTATGACACAGAATGAAGTGATCGTTTAAATCACACTTTTCAATCGAATGATATCACGAACATGGCCAAAAATATTGGTAATTTGCTCTCAAGTTATGTATTAAATCTGTGATTTCTGTAAGATAGTCACATAATTCTTTATTTCAAGGAAACAAGTTGTCTGTCAACATTTGTTGTCTGCTGACAGCACCTGCTGTAGGATTGGTCTGATAGATCCAACTGGAATGTCTGGTGGTCCTTGGCAGAACACTGCAGAGGCAGACATGGTGAGCTGACTTTGTTTCACTTCCGGCTGCTTCTCAATGATGTCGGAGAAAGTCAGAAAACTGGAAAGAATGGAAACAATGTTTATTTTCAAAATTCATACACAAATGGATGCCCATGAGCATAGATATATGCTGTGTGTATGAGGACACAAATAGCTGCCTGTGAACATAGATATATATGCTGTGTGTATGAGGACATAAGAAGCTGCCTGTGAACATATAGTATGCTGTGGACACAAATAGCTGCCTGTGAACATGGACATATGCTGTGTGTATGAGGACACAAATAGCTGCCTGTGAACATAGATATATGCTGTGAACATATATGAGGACACAAATAGCTGCCTGTGAACATAGATATATGCTGTGTGTATGAGGACACAAATAGCTGCCTGTGAACATAGATATATGCTGTGTGTATGAGGACACAAATAGCTGCCTGTGAACATAGATATATGCTGTGTGTATGAGGACACAAATAGCTGCCTGTGAACATAGACATATGCTGTGTGTATGAGGACTGAACATAGATATATGCTGTGTGTATGAGGACACAAATAGCTGCCTGTGAACATAGACATATGCTGTGTGTATAGGGACATAAATGCTGTGAACATAGATATGCTGTGTGTATGAGGACACAAATAGCTGCCTGTGAACATAGATATATGCTGTGTGTAGGACACAAATAGCTGCCTGTGAACATAGATATATGCTGTGTGTATGGACACAAATAGCTGCCTGTGAACATAGATATATGCTGTGTGTATGAGGGACACAAATAGCTGCCTGCAATGAACATAGATATATGCTGTGTGTATGAGGACACAAATAGCTGCCTGTGAACATAGATATATGCTGTGTGTATGAGGACACAAATAGCTGCCTGTGAACATAGATATATGCTGTGTGTATGAGGACACAAATAGCTGCCTGTGAACATAGATATATGCTGCTGTGTGTATGAGGGACAAATGCTGTGACAAATAGCTGCCTGTGAACATAGATATATGCTGTGTATGAGGACATAGCTGCCTGTGAACATAGATATATGCTGTGTGTATCAGGACACAAATAGCTGCCTGTGAACATAGATATATGCTGTGTGTATGAGGACACAAATAGCTGCCTGTGAACATAGACATATGCTGTGTGTATGAGGACACAAATAGCTGCCTGTGAACATAGATATATGCTGTGTGTATGAGGACACAAATAGCTGCCTGTGAACATAGATATATGCTGTGTGTATGAGGACACAAATAGCTGCCTGTGAACATAGATATATGCTGTGAGGATGAGGACACAAATAGCTGCCTGTGAACATAGATATATGCTGTGTGTATGAGGACACAAATAGCTGCCTGTGAACATAGATGTATGCTGTGTGTATGCCTGAGGACACAAATGAGCACAAGAAGCACGCCTGTGAACATAGATATATGCTGTGTGTATGAGGACACAAATAGCTGCCTGTGAACATAGATATATGCTGTGTGTATGAGGACACAAATAGCTGCCTGTGAACATAGATATATGCTGTGTGTATGAGGACACAAATAGCTGCCTGTGAACATAGACATATGCTGTGGGTATGAGGACACACATAGCTGCCTGTGAACATAGATATATGCTGTGTGTATGAGGACACAAATAGCTGCCTGTAAACATAGACATATGCTGTGGGTATGAGGACACACATAGCTGCCTGTGAACATAGACATATGCTGTGTGTATGAGGACACAAATAGCTGCCTGTGAACATAGATATATGCTGTGTGTATGAGGACACAAATAGCTGCCTGTGAACATAGATATATGCTGTGAGTATGAGGACACAAGAAGCTGCCTGTGAACATAGATATATGCTGTGTGTATGAGGACACAAATAGCTGCCTGTGAACATAGATATATGCTGTGTGTATGAGGACACAAATAGCTGCCTGTGAACATAGATATATGCTGTGTGTATGAGGACACAAGAAGCTGCCTGTGAACATAGATATATGCTGTGTGTATGAGGACACAAATAGCTGCCTGTGAACATAGATATATGCTGTGTGTATGAGGACACAAATAGCTGCCTGTGAACATAGATATATGCTGTGTGTATGAGGACACAAATAGCTGCCTGTGAACATAGATATATGCTGTGTGTATGAGGACACAAATAGCTGATGTCATGTATCTTACGTTAAGTTAGGTTCAAATGTGGTAGTACTGTTGATGATAATATTGTTATGACTTGTTAAATAAATACATTATCAATACTGCCCTTTTTTGAGTTTATGACTTTTTATCCCCACGGCATGTAATGCGGGTGGATATAGTCGTAGCCTCGTCCGTCGAGCCATCCGTAATCATTTTGTTTCCAGAGCATAACTCCAAAACCTTTCAATATTTTTCAACCAAAATTGGTAGAAATATCAAACAGAACCTAAGGGGGTGCCTTTTGCCATTTACAGATTTTTGTCATTTTTATTTTTTCTGGTTTCAATGGAAACGATTCGGACTTAGTCTCAAAAGGGAGGGGTGGGTTCCGTTTCCGGAGCACAACTGGAAAACTTCTAAATATCTTTCAGCAAAACGTGGCAGATATGTGAGGCAGATCCCAAAGTGGTGCCTTTTGCTATTTGCAGATTTTTGTGATTTATTATTTTCTCGGTTTCCATGGAAATAATTCGGACTTAGTCTCAAAATGGAGGGGTGGGCTTCGTTTCCGGTGCACAACTCGAAAAGCGTTCAGTATCTTTCAACAGAATTTGGCAGATATATTAGGCAAATGTTGAAATGGTGCCTTTTGCTATTTACAGATTTTTGGCATTTATATTTCTCATGATTTCCATTGAAATGATTTGGACTTAGTTTTAAAAAAAGTCAAGCTTGACTTTAAGTAACTGTCAGATGATTTGTTCTATCAAAGATGTGGGGGCCGGGGGGATATGTCATCTTCTGATGACTCTTGTTTTCCTACCCAAATCTATGACTTTTTTCCATGACTTTTTTTCCTACAACCTGTGTATGAGGACACAAATAGCTGCCTGTGAGGACAAATAGTTGCCTGTGAGGACAAATAGTTGCCTGTGAGGATAGACCTATCCACAATTAGACAGATATGCAGGAACCAAATATATTAACAATTGGATTAATGTTGTAGTGGAGTCCTATATCCAACTGTACAACATATATGTCCTATTTTCACATCAGACCTACCTTTGACAGGATGGCACAAGGGAGAATATATCTTTAGCATACTCTGACAGGACTTGTTGCTGTAACAAATATTGTCACCAAATAATATTTACAGGCATTTCTCATGTAATGGAAATTTACTACAAGGTCTGCCAAAAATGACGCTTAGATGATGTAATAAAGTCGTGTTCAGTTCAATCAAGTATTTATTACTGCAGGACATACAGAGGCGTCTATGGCAGCCATACTGCCAAGCTGGACTACTTGTGGGCTGTAGCAGACGATAGCATATCACTAGGCATGTCATAGTGATAGAGGCTACTGGGATTATAGTGCTATACTTTTAGATGTTATTCTATTATGATATCAAAATATCATTAAAGGAAACAAATACTGTACATAATGACTGGCTGACACCTGTAGGATCTCAAACAGTGACATGAAGTCATGGTGATGATGTGCACAAGGCACTTTAAACCTTCGTCTGGATATACATCCTGCAGTAGGGCATGGTGGCAAGAATGACATTCTGGATGTGGACTGTATGTGGCTACAATCAGACTGAACTTCATCCTCAGGGATGATAACACACGACCTTATCATGCCAGGGTTGTTGATGTATGTACAGCAAGAAGCCATTGTCCACATGGAGTGGCCAGGCACCAGACCTCAATGTTATTGAACATATAAGCAGTGTGATATCACAAGCAGCCAGTATGGACATCTAGTTCAGCTTCCTCTCTGTGTTACTGTAACTACATGTACTGAGGGCCTGGATTGCCTCAGATTCATCATAAGGTGTTCAACTGCTTTCCACTATTTCCTTAAAGCTTTTAAATATAACCATGTACTTCCAGTCTGGAAACATTACTTACAGATCATCTGAGACCTACCTGAGCTAGTGCTGCCATGGTGATGAACAGGAGACACGCCCTGGACTGGGAGTTGTCTGGCTGCTCCTTGATCAGGGTGATGGCTGTCTTCCACTGCTGGTGCTCCAGGAGGAGCTTGATGGCTCTCTCTGTGTCATGCCCCTCACAACTGTCAACAGATCAACATGTGAACTAACAGACAAGATGGCTCTCTCCGTGTCATGCCCCTCACAACTGTCAACAAATCAACATCTGAACTAACAGACAAGATGGCTCCCTCTGTGTCATGCCCCTCACAACTGTCAACAAATCAAAATCTGAACTAACAGGCAAGATGGCTCCCTCTGTGTCATGCCCCTCACAACTGTCAACAGATCAACATCTGAACTAACAGACAAGATCAACACCTGAACTAACAGACAAGATGGCTCCCTCTGTGTCATGCCCCTCACAACTGTCAACAGATCAACATCTGAACAAACAGACAAGATCAACACCTGAACTAACAGACAAGATGGCTCCCTCTGTGTCATGCCCCTCACAACTGTCAACAAATCAATATCTGAACTAACAGACAAGATGGATCCCTCTGTGCCATGCCCCTCACAACTGTCAACAGATCAACATCTGAACTAACAGACAAGATCAATATCTGAACTAACAGACAAGATGGCTCCCTCTGTGCCATGCCCCTCACAACTGTCAACAAATCAACATCTGAACTAACAGACAAGATGGCTCAACAACTGTCAACAAATCAACGAACTAACAGAACTAACAGAGATGGCTCCCTCTGTGTCATGCCTCTCACAACTGTCAACAAATCAACAGCTGAACTAACAGACAAGATAGCTCCCTCTGTGCCATGCCCCTCACAACTGTCAACAGATCAACATCTGAACTAACAGACAAGATGGCTCTCTCTGTGTCATGCCCCTCACAACTGTCAACAGATCAACATCTGAACTAACAGACAAGATGGCTCTCTCTGTGTCATGCCCCTCACAACTGTCAACAGATCAACATCTGAACCAACAGACAAGATGGCTCCCTCTGTGTCATGCCCCTCACAACTGTCAACAAATCAACACCTGAACTAACAGACAAGATCAACACCTGAACTAACAGACAAGATGGCTCTCTCTGTGCCATGCCCCTCACAACTGTCAACAAATCAATATCTGAACTAACAGACAAGATAGCTCCCTCTGTGCCATGCCCCTCACAACTGTCAACAAATCAACATCTGAACTAACAGACAAGATGGCTCCCTCTGTGTCATGCCCCTCACAACTGTCAACAAATCAACATCTGAACTAACAGACAAGATGGCTCTCTCTGTGCCATGCCCCTCACAACTGACAACAGATCAACATCTGAACTAACAGGCAAGATGGCTCCCTCTGTGTCATGCCCCTCACAACTGTCAACAGATCAACATCTGAACTAACAGACAAGATGGCTCCCTCTGTGTCATGCCCATCACAACTGTCAACAAATCAACATCTGAACTAACAGACAAGATCAATATCTGAACTAACAGACAAGATGGCTCCCTCTGTGCCATGCCCCTCACAACTGTCAACAAATCAATATCTGAACTAACAGACAAGATGGCTCCTCTGTGTCATGCCCCTCACAACTGTCAACAGATCAACACCTGAACTAACAGACAAGATGGCTCCTCTCTGTGCCATGCCCTCACAACTGTCAACAGATCAACATCTGAACTAACAGACAAGATGGCTCCCTGTGTCATGCCCCTCACAACTGTCAACAAATCAGCATCTGAACTAACAGACAAGATGGTTCAAGAACTAACAGGCAAGATCAACATCCTCTGTGCCATGCCCCTCACAACTGTCAACAAATCAACATCTGAACTAACAGACAAGATGGTTCCTCTGTGCCATGCCCCCTCACAACTGTCAACAAATCAACATCTGAACCAACAAGACAAGATGGCTCCTCTGTGTCATGCCCCTCACAACTGTCAACAGATCAACACCTGAACTAACAGACAAGATGGCTCCTCTCAGATCAACATCTGAACTAACAGACAAGATGGCTCCCTCTGTGTCATGCCCCTCACAACTGTCAACAAATCAAAATCTGAACTAACAGGCAAGATGGCTCCCTCTGTGTCATGCCCCTCACAACTGTCAACAAATCAACACCTGAACTAACAGACAAGATCAACACCTGAACTAACAGACAAGATGGCTCCCTCTGTGCCATGCCCCTCACAACTGTCAACAGATCAACATCTGAACTAACAGACAAGATGGCTCCCTCTGTGCCATGCCCCTCACAACTGTAAACAAATCAACATCTGAACTAACAGACAAGATCAACACCTGAACTAACAGACAAGATGGCTCCCTCTGTGTCATGCCCCTCACAACTGTCAACAAATCAATATCTGAACTAACAGACAAGATGGCTCCCTCTGTGCCATGCCCCTCACAACTGTCAACAGATCAACATCTGAACTAACAGACAAGATGGCTCCCTCTGTGTCATGCCCCTCACAACTGTCAACAAATCAACACCTGAACTAACAGACAAGATCAACATCTGAACTAACAGACAAGATGGCTCTCTGTGCCATGCCCCTCACAACTGTCAACAAATCAATATCTGAACTAACAGACAAGATGGCTCCCTCTGTGCCATGCCCCTCACAACTGTCAACAGATCAACATCTGAACTAACAGACAAGATGGCTCCCTCTGTGTCATGCCCCTCACAACTGTCAACAAATCAACATCTGAACTAACAGACAAGATGGCTCCCTCTGTGCCATGCCCCTCACAACTGACAACAGATCAACATCTGAACTAACAGGCAAGATGGCTCCCTCTGTGTCATGCCCCTCACAACTGTCAACAGATCAACATCTGAACTAACAGACAAGATGGCTCCCTCTGTGCCATGCCCCTCACAACTGTCAACAGATCAACATCTGAACTAACAGACAAGATGGCTCCCTCTGTGTCATGCCCCTCACAACTGTCAACAGATCAACATCTGAACTAACAGACAAGATCAACACCTGAACTAACAGACAAGATGGCTCCCTCTGTGCCATGCCCCTCACAACTGTCAACAAATCAACATCTGAACTAACAGACAAGATGGCTCCCTCTGTGTCATGCCCCTCACAACTGTCAACAAATCAACATCTGAACTAACAGACAAGATCAACACCTGAACTAACAGACAAGATGGCTCCCTCTGTGTCATGCCCCTCACAACTGTCAACAAATCAATATCTGAACTAACAGACAAGATGGATCCCTCTGTGCCATGCCCCTTACAACTGTCAACAGATCAACATCTGAACTAACAGACAAGATCAATATCTGAACTAACAGACAAGATGTCTCTCTCTGTGTCATGCCCCTCACAACTGTCAACAGATCAACATCTGAACTAACAGACAAGATGGCTCCCTCTGTGTCATGCCCCTCACAACTGACAACAAATCAACATCTGAACTAACAGACAAGATCAATATCTGAACTAACAGACAAGATGGCTCTCTCTGTGTCATGCCCCTCACAACTGGCAATCTGAACTAACAGACAAGATGTCATGCCCCTCACAACTGTCAACAGATCAACATCTGAACTAACAGACAAGATCAATATCTGAACTAACAGGCAAGATGGCTCCCTCTGTGTCATGCCCCTCACAACTGTCAACAGATCAACATCTGAACTAACAGACAAGATCAACATCTGAACTAACAGACAAGATCAACATCTGAACTAACAGACAAGATCAATATCTGAACTAACAGACAAGATGGATCCCTCTGTGCCATGCCCCTCACAACTGTCAACAGATCAACATCTGAACTAACAGACAAGATCAACATCTGAACTAACAGACAAGATCAACATCTGAACTAACAGACAAGATCAATATCTATATCATGTGCTTCACAACAGTCAACAGATCAACAGTTATCAATAGTTACAAAATGACATCAAGCTAACCTTGCCAGAATGAGGTTGACCTTGACTCTCACTGCAGCCTCTATGTCCAATGATGTATCCGGTTCGGGGAGACAACTCAGTGCCTTTTTATAATACTGGAACTGAGGAGGAAGGAATTTGTGAAACATATTCAGAAGTATTTTATAAATGCCTTACACATTTATTGGTCATGAACCAATGGTTGAATTGATAGGAGTGGACTATGGGTAGCCATTCTGTGCAAAAATACATCAATTGAAGCATAAAAATACCAACAACAATATACAGGATGGTTTCACTCTGAACAATGCTTTACAGGTTGCCAGGTTACCATGACTGAATGTGTGGTATATGTAACACGTTGTCACAATGATAAATACCCATGTTGTCACAATGATAAATACATGCTTGGTTCACCTTGGGGTTGTGTTGCACATTACAAGCATGTACCAGATACCCAGTTGAATGCTGATTGACATCTATTTGGTACTTATCTCATACTTTCTTCATAACAATCTACCATCATTGCATTCTGCAGACCCTCATTTCAACTTTTGTATTATTTTACTTAATGGCCGCCAAAAGATCAAATTTAAGTGAACTGAAGAATGGTGCTTCATAAATACCACAAAACATGAAATTATGACAAACATGAAATTAATGTAAAACAAGAAGACAAAGTCATCAATATCCCCCGCAATGGCAAAATACTCTTCATGATTATGTCTGCGAGTTATGATTATGTCAAATATTTAGGTGTGTATATAGAAAAGTGGAAGGAGAGTATTGAAAGGTTTTTAAAGTTCTGCTCCAGAAAATAGCACTATCACCAATTTCAGTCTATGTCAAACTTGTTGCCACGGAAAAGCCAAAAATATTTTATTCAGAATTCCAAAACTACCAAAAGGCACCAGTACACCACCAGATCTATCTATGTGCCAAGTTTGGTGAAGAAATAGTGAACGGTTTTAGAGTTCAGCTCCGGAAAAGAGCACAACCACCAATTTCAGGCTAAGTCGAACTTGTTGCCATGGAAATGCCAAAAATATTTTATTCAGAATTCCAAAACTACCAAAAGGCACAAGAACACCACCAGATCTATCTATGTGCCAAGTTTGGTGAAGAAATAGTGAACGGTTTTAGAGTTCTGCTCCGGAAAAGAGCACAACCACCAATTTCAGGCTAAGTCGAACTTGTTGCCATGGAAATGCCAAAAATATTTTATTCAGAATTCCAAAACTACCAAAAGGCACCAGTACACCACCAGATCTATCTATGTGCCAAGTTTGGTGAAGAAATATTTAACGGTTTTAGAGTTCTGCTCCGGAAAAGACAAATGTGCATGGAAGGATGGATGGACGCACGGACGGAGTCCATTTTAATACCCCCCACAAAACGCGTTGCGGGGGATAAAAATGACCCTTGTTTGCATTAATAGAAGTAGTTTTTGTGTGGACATATTGGGGTTGTCAAATCAGGTTCACTGCACATACTTCCGTACATAACAAAGCTCTCAATAGACTGACTGACTGAGTTTAGTTTTACCGCTTTTAGCAATATTCCAGCAATATCACGGCAGGGGAACACCAGAAATGGGCTTAACACATTGTGCCCATGTGGGGAATCGAACCCGGGTCTTCAGCATGACGAGCCAACGCTTTAACCACTAGGCTAACCCACCGCCCCGCTCTCAATAGACACTGTAAATGAGCGATGTAGTGGTTGACAGTCCTCACCAATTTTTTTTATGTTTAAAGCAACTCTATGATTAAGTCAACAGTCACATTCATTTGGAGATGCATTTAATTTCATGATATCCAGTGTTTACCTGTGTATGAATGAGCATATACAATCAATCGGACATCAAAGTACATTAGAATGCAGTGTACATCAACCTCTATCAATCTCAACAATGTAATCACATGACCTACTGTTTGTTTCCTGCGGACAAAAGCCGACACACCAACAGTCTGCTCACTGATGCTCTGGGCTGCACGGACAAACTGCATCTGTAGTACATGAAAAATATACAGCTGCAAGGAACCAGTGTTATTATCATAATTAACTGGTGTGGTGAAAACGACAGGTAGATGATGACTGCCATCGCGACATTTTGGGATAAGTCACCCTTTCAGATTGGAATGGTGGTTGCAAACATCAGTGCTACTGTAGAGTATACTGCCCTCATACTGTCCTCTATCCAGACATGTGTCCATGTCTCCAGTATGGTAACCATGCATTTACCATAGTTACCAGGAAACACACCCAGTAGCATCATAACTGGTTCTTGGTTACTAAGAATTACTCTATAGTGCCTTCCAGGAAAAAATAACATCGTGGTGGCAGTGTCATGGAGTAGAAAGTTTCTGTTTCTTGTCTGAATTCTCAGACTTTTCAGTTTTAAGCTTTTATTTTTGAGAAAGCTACAGCCTTAAAAAAGGACCATGCTGGTCTCAACCAAAGGTTTTCTCCAATTTGATGAAAGCCTTCCCTTGGCTGTATGCATGTCACTAAATATGGGTACAGTACTTGGATTGCTGGTGCCATCATGTACCCTCCAGTACAAGGAAGTACTCCAGGTACTCTGTAGTTTCCATCCTTTCAACAAGTTAACCGTGTCAGTCACAGAGTTTGTTCCTACCAGGTTTTGAGGCTTGAGCTTGTACAGCAGACGGCAGACGTGTTCAAACAACAGGAGAGTTGTATCCCCTGACGGAGTGGTGTCAGCCTCCAGACCCAGTAGCCGCTGCCAGCGGTCAGCCTGGTCTGTGGCAAGGTCATCTGGACAAATGGCATAATGAAGTTCATGGTCGGGCACATATCATCTCCTATTCTGTCATACAATATACGGGGTTGTGGGGTAGCCTAGTGGCTAAAGCGTTAGTTCGTCACGCCGAAGACCCAGGTTCGAATCCCAACATGGGTACATTGTGTGAAGCCCATTTCTGGTGTCCCCCGCCGTGATGTTGCTGGAATATTGCTAAAAGCGGTGTAAAACCAAACTCAGTCAGTCAGTCATACAATATACTACTCAATGTAGTTTCTTTTTCAAAATACTTCGGCTATCATTACAACTTGCTCATGAAAATTCACTATTCTAAAATATACAAAATTCATATAAGTATTGCAGAAAATATGTTAGCGTTCATTTACAAACGTAGAATACACTGCTGTTGCTCATGCCAGGTGCAGAAGGCATGCTGGAGTTACACACATTTGCACTCAGTGAAATAACATGAAGCCATTACAAAACCATGCAGTGCCTGGCCATTTCCTGATAGAACACAATACATACCTGTCTCATACTGTAGGTCACCAGTGAGAACCTGAAGCATCACATCTGGGTATTTCTCACATAGCCACAGGATCTGGGCTTGCTGCACATCCAAAGGGAGAGAACTCTTGTTGAAGAGAATGTTCCTGACCTCCTCCTCCACTGTTGTTGCCTCAGTGTTGACTGGAAGCTGGAAGGGTCGGTCATATCTCTATGATTACTGATCAAGACTGCTATAAATATATATTTATTCCTTCAAATAATGTTTGCTTATGCTGAAAAGTGTATCCAGGAAAATTTAAGACCCTAAAATAGCAATGTAATTTCATATCTCTCTACTGTGGTGAACAAGGGAGGTGACATCACTCTCTAGTTGGATTTCATGTGTCTATATGTTAAACATATATAAGAAACATAATCTTCACTTGTTTACAAAAACTTTATTAATTGCATGTATATCGCATGAGATGAGAACTCCATTTATCTGGTGAGATTGTCGTCACCTACCTTGGACCTATCTGCTAAACTGCCAACAAGCTCCTCTAACCTCCAGAACTCTGCCATGTAGGGATCTGGAACATTTCAACATGCACAAAGTCATGCCTCCAGAATCTGGGGTTTTCAAGCAGATGATGAAAGTTGTTAAAGTACCGGTAGGGGTCGTATAACAGAATTGAAGGTATAGTGAGACTTAACCTTCACAAATATTCTTGACACTGACCTACAAGTTGAGACAACCTTGACCTTGGCTGCTTCACTTGATCCCCTTTCCACCTCCTGTGTAGGTGTGATATCCTTTTGACAACATGGGCTGACTGGTCCTGTTGCTTCTCCTTGTCAACAGAGAGGTCAAGGTCAAGGATGTGAAATACTCAATCAAAATACAGCTTTTAAGCAAATTTATGAGGAAATGTCTATTGCATACCACAATTTGTTTTTCTAAATTAATATTATATTTCTTTCAATCATATACCTGGATATAATGTTTAAAGTAATTTAAACTTGTTATCAAAACTTAACATGTATAGAAAAATAATTAGCAAAAAGCAACATTAAGTCAAACCAGAGACCATATACCGATATATGGTCTCTGGTCAAACATATAACCAGTATATATAGTCTCCTTCAAGGAAAACAGAATAAACTGAAGGCCATTTTGGATATGTGGGCACTTTTCATAAAGTAGGCTTAAGAGTGAAGGTGTCCACACACCCAAAAAAATGAATTATTGTTTCAACTTAACACTGACAAAAATATCAAAAATTGCTGTCAAATTTTCTATAAAAATGAGTCAGTTGATATAATCCTGTGAATAATTCTGAACTGAAACCATCTCAATTTGATATGTAAACTAGTCTTAAGTAGCTTTACAAACATGTTTTCCCAATCTAACTAAGCGAAAACAAATTCCTTCCACTTATATTTAAATATAAGTTGAGTATCAAATGCATTCAAGATAAAATTTGCACCTTTCTTAACTGATAGCTGTTTGCTGACATCAGGGTTATCATCCAGTTGGGCAGAAGATGTGGGTTTAGTTATTTTCATCTTATCCTGGTATTTCTTTATAGCCTGGATTAACCCTTGATAATGAAGGAAGTTGACATCAAGTGCAAAAGTGTATTGGAATTACTCAAGTCAGTTGTAGGTATTTTTTTTCAGGATTTATAAAGACTTGTTCTTGGCTGACACTGCTTTAAAACAATTTAGAATAAAAGATCATATCTGTATCATTTTACCGATTCTTTTATATGGGTCCGAAATCTGGGGAACTAAATATTTTCATTGTATAGAAAAGGTTCATGCATCATATTTTAAATGCTTCCTAAATTTGGGAAAGTATGCTTCAAATAAGGCTGTACTAGGGGAAACTGGTCGTTGCAATATATTTGTACTCACCAGATTACGAGTAATAAAATTTTGGCTGAAATTATTAAAAATGGATTCTTATAGGTACCCAAGGCAAAGTTATATTTTCCTAAAGCTACAAGATGATATTGGCAAGCTTAATTGGGCATCAGAGGTTAGACAGTTACTTTTTTCGACTGGATTTTCTCATGTGTGGATTTCACAAATGGTTGGAAATGAATGTAATTTTTTATATGTTTTTAAGCAACGTCTTCAGGACATTTTCTTCCAAGAATGGTCTATGTCTATAAATAATTCAAGTTTCTTAGAACACTATTCTTCTCATAAATCTTTGTTAGAACCGGAGTTTTATATTATGAACCTACAAGACAAATCGTTAATACGGGCGTTGTGTAAATTTAGAATTGGCTTTCATGATTTTAGAATTCACTATTTACGCAAACCCAATAGAGCTTTCAGTGATGTAAATGAATCCATCTGTAAAAATTGTAAGACAGGTAATATTGAAAGTGAATTTCATGTATTATTTGTGTGTACCAAGTATTTAGATTTAAGAAGTAAGTATTCACATTTGTACCAACACCTGTAAGAGATGAACAAATATTGTCCAGTCTGTTAAATTCTAAAAATATTGATATTATCAAATCTATTGCTATTTATTTAAAACATGTCTTCAATGCAAGAAATGTCACCACAACCACCACGTGCATATAATTGTAGCAAGTGTATTTGTACTATAGGCCTTTAGGCCCGAAATACTGAATAAAAATGAATCTGAATCTGAAGTTGACATCAAGTGCAAAAGTGTATTGGAATTACTCAAGTCAGTTGTAGGTATTTTTTTTCAGGATTTATAAAGACTTGTTCTTGGCTGACACTGCATTAAAACAATTTAGAATAAAAGATCATATCTGTACTAATGTTTTTTGTTATAAAAGACAGGTTCTGTTATAAAGTCATCAAATGATTCAGGCTGTATATTCTTTGACAACTTATCAAAGGCAAAGACAGCATCCAACCAAAATACATAAATGATTTTTTTAATGCTTTTGCTGGAAACATTGCCAATATATGGCTGAAGTTTAGTACACAGTTTTCCAATTGGATTCATTTGTGATGTCCAACAGTTTTCTTAACTAAAGTCAGCTTCAATGAATTTACACAGGAAAAAACTTCAACCATACCAAGCCCACCCACTTCACATATGTACATTTTCTTTTAATCTTATTTGGTTGCCCTTTCCAAGAAATTTAAATAACATTTTATTCAACTCTTCAGAAACTGACGAGGAGGGTTAGGGAGTGTAAAAAATACATAATTTCATTTTGAAATAAATAAGGCCTTGATAATAGCAATTCTATGAAGAGAAGTAAAGACTGTTTTCATCCATCTGTTATTTATTAAATTATAAAGTCTTGACACTTAAGACTTGAAAAATATGAAATTTTAACTATAAATTGTATACTTATAATACTCATCCTATCTCACATCTTGTACTCTCTCTCATGATCAACAACTGAGTGGAAACGAACTGTAAACAAAGTTTTTGGCCTCTCTTGTACCATTTGCCCAAACACAACCTTACTGCTCCCATTCCTGCACAGCCTGGTAGCCTCTGCAAAGCATGCAGCATGCCGTCTGGTTGATCAAGTGATTCCTTTGTCTGAACATTCTCTTCTTGGAGCGAAAGGTCGCAATCTATGTAGTGGGGTAGGTCAGGCGGGAATCCATCATGTAAGATAAGTATTATAAATATACAATTTATAGTTAAAATTTCCAAATTTTTTAACTTCTCCTATCTCACATCTTGTACTTATCCCATGTTTGGACGGTGGGCCACAGATTACCCGGTGTCTGTGGAGGATACAACCGTGGTGCTATGATGGTGATGCACAAGGACGTCGTTATGAGCACAATCTCCCCAATTGACTGCATGACTCCTATACTTGTGATGGGTTGCTTCTTCAAAACCCCTTGGCTTACTCAGTACAAAAATTCCCAGGGAGTGGCTGCTCCCGAATAAATTTGGTTTTCTGCCATATTTTTGTCACCAGACCAGCTAAGCAAGTGACTCGCCTCGCCCCAATTTCCAGAAAGTCCCAGTAAATTATAGTCTTGAGGCTCTAATCTGGCTAGTTCCTGCTTCGAAACCATCCCCACAGTCACCATGCAGATGAAAGGGAACACGGCTCGGTAAGCTCAACTGAGCCGAAGTGATTGCCGAAGCAACCTTTAAACCTTTGTACCCTTGGCGATCAAAGATTTCTGCAGATGTGCCAAACGTGAAGATGTAGCATTTGCAGGGACCCATGTAGTCGATCTGAGTGAGAGTGGAATAGCACATCATCTCAGTTGGGTACAGTCACTGGATCTGGATCGGCGAACAGTGGATCGACGAACCAATTTCGAGCTGGCCTGTAGGGCGAAACCAAAAGCAGTGTTATCTTCTTGGTGGACTGTAGCTACTGAGCACTCCAGGTAGTAGAGCCGGTTTGATCGTGAAAGAGGATCTGCGATGACATTCTTAACCCCTGTTATGTATCTGGCTCTTGCTGTGATGCCCAGGGAGTCTATCAGTTGGAAGAACCAGATCGCCCAACCGAGGAGGTGGGATGAACCTGTTGAGCCCAAATGATTGATGTGCCCAATGCGTTATGGCTAGAATGACTGCCTTGAACTTCACTTCGTTTATGTGAAGGGACTGCTTGTCTAGGGACCACAGCTCTTCCACCTGATGATCATGATGATGAGCTCCCCATCCTCGGAGCAACGATCTATAAATAGGTGATGAGTGGGATTGAACGGCCTAAACATTTGATTCATTGAGCCACCAGCAAAAGTACGGATGGAGTGATGAAGGTAGATGGATGGGGATCGTCGATCTTCAGAGGACGAGAAAGATCGGCGAGTAGAAACTAGGGGTGTCGGGTGAAGGTCCGAGAGACTCAGTTGGTAGTTTCTCCAACAATGTACCTAGAGTGGTTTGCAGAGCTGATATCTGCATCGCAGGGTAGGTTCGATGAACCGGATCGATGGTCAGGGGTGGAGATCCTATAACCGGCAGCTTGTAACCCTGGTTGAGTGTGAATACGATGAAGGGGGCTTCCAAAAGAGTCAAATTGCGAGCATATAGGCCAATTCTTCCGCCTACCAGAGTGCCTAAGATCGAAATGACTGGGGGCGGAAGTTCCCAGTCAGGCGAACGTCTCTGACAGTTACTGCTTCCTGGAACCAGCTCCACGATTGTGTCCGAGTCGCGGGCACCTCTGGCAAAGGTGGATCTGGGCTGTTATCTTGTCCTGCCACGAAAGGAATAGCCCTAACAAAAGGAGTCTCCAAGGTTGGGGTTCGAAGATGTGTACTGTGCCAGTCGTTTATGCTTCAAGGATTCCTGTAACTGCATCTTCTGAAGCTTAAGCACTTCAACTGACACCTGGAACTTTCGTAGAGAGGTTGTGGACGATGCCATCAAACAGAAACAGTCCACTCTGTAATGAACGTCCCAAGAGGTATGGTTCAACAGGCCTTGCCGTCTAATCAGCAGTATGTATCCGAGAAAGAAAGTGATTTGGTCCAGGAAAGTCTGAAACTGTTCACGAACAATAGCCATGGCTCCCTAAAGTGCGTCTGGTCCTGGGTCGTAGCGTGCGCAACAGATAAGTCTACTGCCTCTATCGCCGACAGCATAACATTGATGGAGGGTAAGGTACGGTGAATGATGTTTTCAGGTGAATTAACTCCCGGTCTTCAGTTAGGAGAGGAGGGCTATTTCGCTTCAGTCAGTGAGAGTGAGAGTGAGAGAGAGAGACAGGAGGTGTATAAAAAATATATATCCTAGTAACTTAGAATATTCAGGATTCCACTCAATATTTAGACTGGGCAAATACCTCACAAGAGTATTCTCCCTGGCACCTATCCGTGTTACTCGAGGGGAGCTTTGTCATAGTTATTTTTTTAGCCTGACGTATCAGCAAAACATTTTCAGTGTGTCAACTGTAGCTTCAAAAGATTCTTGAGAATATGAACTCTACATTCTAAGTTGTTCAGTGGTCTCGAGGGGGACATGGGCTGATGTACCCTTGATGTCGGTTTATGTTCTCTGAACCCGAAGGGCGAGGGGAACATAAAGAAACATCGAGGGTACATCAGCCCATGGGCCCGATTGAGGGACCAGTGAACAACATATTTATCTTACCGAAGACCTCAATGGTAATTTTAAACTGTTTGAAGCACATGTATTGGATCATAGTATGGAGTACAAGACAACAAGAAAAACAAATTTTTCTCCCTTCCATCGATCTGCATTCGCAAAACATCGGTAATTTCCATACATCATACGTGATTCAATGTTATTCAAGATAAAGAATTACTACTACGAAGTACCAAATGAGTTCGGCATTCCCAGCGGGGTACATAGAAAATGTTACTCGCTTGTAAGCGTGGTACATTAAAAATAATAGAAGAGCGCTCAGCCAATCAGAAAACGACATTTATGTGTGAGGCAAGATAAACTGTGTTGATAGTACTCTTCGTCTCTTATTCTGTCCTTTGATATTCACATTCACTGATAGATTTAGGGAGAACAGATTTAATCCTTACAGTCATAACAGAAGAAGAAATTTGTACGATGACTTCAGAATGGGAAATTATTCTCCAATTCTTCAGAAGACTTTTAAGGACAAGATCAGTGTGTACCCACCTGACTCAGGTAGGCAACCTGTAGACTGTCTGTCTGGAACGTCCTCCCTGCAGGTGCGGACATCATACTCAGACTGTCACCTTTTGCAGAATTCTTCTGTCAACAGGAAAGAGTTAACATAAAGTAAGATTAACCATGCTTTGTCTCTCCAACCAGGAAACACACAGTAACACAAACTGCAGCTTTATTCAACCGGGAAAAACAGTGACACAAACGTGCACTTTGTCTCTCTAACAGGAAAACATAGAGTAACATAACCTGTGCCATGTCCATACAATAACTAACATTAGTACAAAATCTCTGCTGCAGAAAAACATACAGTGACACAACTTTGTGTCACTAAGTTATGCCCTTCAACAGACCCATACCATCAATGTAAGAGGCAATGTTTGTTTATGTTGGTATCAGTGTGCAAAATAGTTTCCAAATTTTGCTAGCCAATCGGGCTAGCTATGCCTGAAAGTTACTAGCCCACAAAATAATTCACTAGCCTGAAATTTGAAACTAAGCAAAAGATCACAAATATAATTAAGAAATACACTTCGCTCTACCACCATGTATAGTGTAATAAAACACACTTTTGCCCTGAACTATTATAGTTAAAGCACGAGGACGCTTGCGTCCGAGTTCTTTTAACGCTATAATAGTTCAGGGCAAAAGTGTGTTTTATTACACTATACATGGTGGTAGGGCTAAGTTATTTCTTTCTAAGATGCCAAGTTTAATACTTTCTAAAGATAATTACGATTAATTTAAGGCAGAAAACAAACGACGGTATCGGTGACCTAAATTAAGAATCCTCGCACAGGGCTAACTCGCTGGCTGCTGTTCTATTGATGTGTCTGCCCCTACGTTAAGACGAACGCGTTACCAGAAAAAAACAAATGATAACAGTTTGATGACGGTTTACGTTCGGATTAAATATCTTCTCTGAATTATTTTAATTACATCTGTGATTAACGTAAACCATATGGGGCAATATGAACGTTGCATTTCTACTACCTGCGTAAGAATAGATCAGTACATCCAGAGGAAGTTGAATAGTCAAGCGACATTCCACAATTGCATTGTGGGAATGTAAACATTACGAACGTTACTGTGTCGCTGAAAACTTGTGAGTCGAAATGACAAATTTTAACCGTCGTAAAACATAAACGTAATGTTTCCACCAGTGATGTTAGCTGCGTGAAGCAACAGCAAACCAAGAAACTGGATGCAACGGTGTAGTTTACTGTAGGAGGCCGTTCGAGGCGATGACAACTGACATGCATCGTGAAGTCGCTTACATTGTGACGTAATGTAAAATGGTTCGATTACGAGGGGGCACACTAGAATGGCACATGTGACGGGATAACGTCATTCAATTGTTACGTCATCAAAAAACTATACCTTTATTGTCTGATAATGTATTTTTTTTTTATTGTTCTAACCGTTAGGCATCTTAGAAATGAGAATAAGATATTGTCTGCATGACACGGGTTTCATCATTAAGCTGCTAATATGGTGAACAGTTTTATCAGGCCATAATCTTTAAAAGTGTATTATAACTTAACAAGACAGAGAGAGTGATATATTTACAAAATGACCCCATGACAATTCACAAGACGGTCGGGCCAGTGACTGTGGAGTAGTGGTGGTCCGATTAATTGAAATAATCGAAGATTGGTCGCAGTGACTATAACGACCAAGCAATCGATTATGTTTTCTCATAATCTAACACAAACAATTTTGGAACACTTGTTTGCATTAATATCATTTCTCAAAAGGTTGGTTTTGTCTGTTACATTTCATAAGTGCTACAAGCTCTTTCCAAGTCATGACTGAATTTATCTTAAAGATTCCAGGAAATTTATGTTCCTAACATACTAATCATCCTTTAAAGATGTGAAATTTGTAAATGCATTTTGTGCAATTTGCAAAGAAACCCAAAAGAACTACATGTTTTTTCTATATTTTTTGTGCATAAACAAACATAACCAGGAGAATTTGATAAATCATGCTAACCAAATTTGTTCAATGATTGATCTGTTGTAATGAACCAATCATCAATTGTGAGATTTTAACCAATTCCCAACACTACTGTGGAGATTTACTGGCCCGACTGACTATTTCTCACACTGGTTAGCATACAAACTGAGGGTATTATCACTTCCCTGTGGCTACCCACATGAGGCTACTATTTTCAGTGATGGACAAAACAGCATGTTCTCCTCAAACCAGAGTAAAATCAGATTCAGTATCTTACTACATGCCTTCAGTTGATGGTAAGTGTAGCATCCAACTGATGACATCCTCACCATGTCGCTGATTGGGGTAAACGCCTTGGTCATGCAGACAAGGTGTCCAACCAGGGATCAGAGGTTTGAATCTCATGCAGGAAGTTGCCAAAACTGTGGAAAGTTCTAAGACTTTTATTTTTTTTTAACAAAGAAAGATTATGATGAATGATAAGTTACCTGTACAATGTATATGTCGTGTTGGGTAAAGAATCCCACCATGACAGTGGGGATATGAGACACACTGACTCCCAGAATCTCTCCGCTGTCTGGTGAGGTCACATCGCGCAGCGGCAAACCTAGCCTGGCGTTAAACAACCTGAAACAGCGGAAACACAATCAGGGTGAACACTGACAATCTAGAATGTGTATGTTCTCATAGAGACACCTGTCTCCACCTCCTTGTCTTGGATACATAAGTCCAGATTATTTCCATGGAAACAGCAAATTGAAACAATTAATATTGAAAAGTATGAAATGGCAATAGTTGAGCATTTGGTCATTGCACATGTCTTGTTTGGTAGTTTTCATGCAAAAATAGAGATCTGTTTGAGAGTTATGCCATGGAAATGAAGCCTACAGTTGTTTCCATCAAAACATACCAAAATATAATTTCATAAAATTCAAAATGCAAATGTAGTTAAGGGAAGCAGTTAAGCTGATGAGCAATGCCTATGCCAGGTGTTGTCAAAAACACAATGCATGGTCTGTAAGTTATAGCCAGACATTGCATGGGAATGCTGATGTCAATTTGAACCAAGCCATAAGCAATATCACTCCCCTCTCTTTGGTAGGGAAGGAATCAAGAGAAAAGACCATATGTTATCTCCCCTCTCTTTGGTAGGGAAGGAATCAAGAGAAGGGACCATGTGTTATCTCCCCTCTCTTTGGTAGGGAAGGAATCAAGAGAAAAGACCATGTGTTATCTCCCATCTCGTCTGAGTACACTATAAATGGACTGACCCAGGAACCAGTGTAACCCTACCTGAGTTTGCTGCCAGTTCTAATACCAAAGACAGTCTGTGTGAGGAACCAGTTGTCTGCCTCCAGCTCCACATCTGACAGGTCTGGGAACTGGGTCATTGTGCAGGTGACCACATCGCTGTTGTCTGTGTCAGTCATAAAGTGAAGTCATCAATAAAACATCTTTACTGTATCAGTACTGGTATCAACATACTGGCTGTGCATTTACCTATAATTCTAGTCCTCTACAGCAGCTATTAAGTAATTGATGAGCCACTAACCATCCACAGTGTGGTATCTGTACAGCTTCCCATCCTCCTGCAGTGCGACCATCTGACCTCTCTGTGGGTCCAGCTGGACATACACCCTGCCGCTGTACTGACCAGTCTGAAACATCAGTATCACAGAAACAGTCCTGCCACACATCTACATCACAGAAACAGTCCTTCCACACGTCTACATCACAGAAACAGTCCTGCCACACATCTACATCACAGAAACAGTCCTGCCACACGTCTACATCACAGAAACAGTCCTTCCACACGTCTACATCACAGAAACAGTCCTGCCACACGTCTACATCACAGAAACAGTCCTGCCACACGTCTACATCACAGAAACAGTCCTGCCACACGTCTACATCACAGAAACAGTCCTTCCACACGTCTACATCACAGAAACAGTCCTTCCACACGTCTACATCACAGAAACAGTCCTGCCACACGTCTACATCACAGAAACAGTCCTGCCACACGTCTACATCACTCTCTTGGGGTGACCTGACATGAAAGGTAACCAAGGCAGCTGGGGATAAGTTTTGTTTTGTTTGTTTGTCGTTTAACACCACACTCATCTATATTCCAGCTATATGGTGGCGGTCTGTATATAATTGAGTCCTGACCAGACAATCCAGTGATCAACAGCATGAGCATAGATCTACAGAAGTGGGATACAATGACATGTGTCAACCAAGCCAGCGAGCCTGACCACCTGATCCTGTTAGTCGCCTCTTAGGACAAGCATGGGTTACTGAAGACCAGTTCTAACCCGGATCTTCACAGGTTGGGTATAAGTTGTAACACTGCACTACTGTATCTCAGAGAGCTAAAGAATGAAATGATACACAGAAACTTTAAATTTGTAATGCCAGGTGAAGAAGGAGGGAAAAGTTTAGTACTAAAGCAGATGCAATTAAAATCTTCCAGAACAGATGTTATTGAGCTGGACAGTTAATTTTGTCAACCAAGCCTTGGTACTCTGGACAGCCACTCCATGGGACATGAATGTTTTGGAATCATGGTTCTCACCTTCGCAATGACAGGCAGACACTGTACAAGAACTGTCCTGAAATCCACTGATGGAAGGGGAGATAAATCTGTTTCTAGTTTCTCTCCAGCAACAAACATTGTGACACTCTGCTTGTTGATACTCAGCCATAAAATAAAATGGACAGACCCATCAACTGGCCTGAAAATATAGAAATGATATTTTCACCTCATCAAAATGATATTTATAAAATTTCGGAAAGGAATGGACGTTGAATAAAGTGAAGTCATCAATCTTCCAGCCATAACAAGGTGACCTGGAAATAAACTAGTCGGTGCTAGACAAACCAGTGGTTGACAGCATGAACAATCTTTCATGACGAACCATCATCATTACATTCTGAATTGGGGTCCACAAGCTTTGACCATTGTTGACCCAACACTGACATACTCACTCACTCAACATGTATTAACTGATATTCCTTGAAACAGCCATTGCATAACGGTACCTGGATGATATGAGAATGTTATTTGTGATGACATAGACGTCGCTGGGTGGACAGTTGTGTACCAGGGCATGCACAGGGCCAATGTCTTTACTCTTCACCTTTGCCAAGTCTGGAAGAGAACATGAGCTCCTGTTTCATTACGTCAATACATTTTTACAAACTACTTTACCAGTTTCAGCTCTCCACTGTCATATACAGTTACAACACTTATAGTTACAAAGATTCCTTTGATTCAACAGATTTCAACAGGAGAATGAACTTCTTGAGGATTATTCATGTGTCATCAGTAAAGGAATCAATCAGACTTGGAAGAAGCTACATGTTTAAAAAAGAAAAAGAAATTATTTTATACACCAGTCTACTTCAGTACTGTCTACTTTACTACATTACTGTCTACGTTAATACATAAAGTCTACATTTCTACATTACTGTAAGTGTGCCTACTTTACTACATTACCGTCTACTTTACTGCATTATGTCTACATTTCTACATTCACATCTACTTTACTGCATTATCTCTTCATTTCTACAGTACTGTCTACTTTACGACATTATGTCTACTTTACTGCATTATGTATATATTTGTCTACATTACTGTCTACTTTCTACTACTGTCTTTACATTTATGTCTGTCTACTTTACTGCATTTTGTCTACATTTCTACAGTACTGTCTACTTTACGACATTATGTCTACTTTACTACAGTACTGTACTGTCTACTTTACTGCATTATGTATATATTTCTACATTACTGTCTACTTTACTACATTATGTCTACTTTACTGCATTTTGTCTACATTTCTACAGTACTGTCTACTTTACGACATTATGTCTACTTTACTACAGTACTGTCTACTTTACTGCATTATGTATATATTTCTACATTACTGTCTACTTTACTACATTATGTCTACTTTACTGCATTTTGTCTACATTTCTACAGTACTGTCTACTTTACGACATTATGTCTACTTTACTACAGTACTGTCTACTTTACTGCATTATGTATATATTTCTACATTACTGTCTACTTTACTACATTATGTCTACTTTACTGCATTTTGTCTACATTTCTACAGTACTGTCTACTTTACGACATTATGTCTACTTTACTACAGTACATGTACTGTCTACTTTACTGCATTATGTATATATTTCTACATTACTGTCTACTTTACTACATTATGTCTACTTTACTGCATTTTGTCTACATTTCTACAGTACTGTCTACTTTACGACATTATATCTACATTACTACAGTACTGTCTTCTTTACAACATCATGTCTACATTACTGTCTACTTTACAACATCATGTCTACATTTCTACATTACTGTCTACTTTACTACATTATATCTACATTACTACAGTACTGTCTACTTTACAACATCATGTCTACATTTCTACATTACTGTCTACTTTACTACATTATATCTACATTACTACAGTACTGTCTACTTTACAACATCATGTCTACATTTCTACAGTACTGTCTACTTTACGACATTATGTCTACTTTACTACAGTACTGTCTACTTTACTGCATTATGTATATATTTCTACATTACTGTCTACTTTACTACATTATGTCTACTTTACTGCATTTTGTCTACATTTCTACAACACTGTCTACTTTACGACATAATATCTACATTACTACAGTTCTGTCTACTTTACAACATCATGTCTACATTACTGTCTACTTTACAACATCATGTCTACATTTCTACATTACTGTCTACTTTACGACATTATATTTACATTACTACATTACTGTCTACTTTACAACATCATGTCTACATTACTGTCTACTTTACTACATTATGTCTACATTTCTACAGAAGTATCTGCTTTGCTACAGTACTGTCTACATTTCTACATTACTGTCTACTTTACTATATTATGTCTACATTTCTACATTACTGTCTACTTTACTACAGTACCATCTGGCAGAGTCCTTTTGCAGACACAGTATGTAGCAGAATCCGTGGCCGCCCTCCTCTCACACCAGTAGATGCACTTGTGTGCGGGGTCCATGCACACACTGACCACCTCCGCACCAGCTGTGGCGTTGCAGACATCAAACTCAGCATAGACTGACCATGTGTACTCCTCATCAAACTTCCAGCACTGCACATGGCCGCTTCTCTGCACCTGGAGAAACGAGGTGTGTCACAGTGCTGCACACTCTTGTCTACCCTATATATCTGTATCAGCATCCCTGTCACATTGTTTCCACATAACATGGTCACTGAACCATGTAGTACTTATACAACAGAGTCTTCCTTGAATCCTACCAAGTTGTAACAATGACAGCCAAACCCAAATCTTGCTGTCAACATAAATACTAAAATATTTCCACATAAATCCCCGAGGACTTAAACATGAGACAAACAGGTTGACAAACAGGTTGTCATCTCAAGACAAATGTACATTCCAGAGAATTTTGAGAGAAATCAAAACTTTGAGAGTGGTCAAAACACAAAGGTAAAAATAACAGCCATAAATAAATTTTTCAATATGTCTTTTGTGTATGCCTGAAAATCCAATTTGAATCACTTCAATGTGAAGTCACCATTTTGGTAACAAGCATGCGAACCTCAGCATCCAGTGGTTTCTTGAAGATGTTTACAGATACACATGGACCTCATAAGTTCTCGTAACCTTCAATCAAATCAGTGAAGAATTGAAAGGTATACAATGTACCACCAAGCTCACATAAGGCTTCAGGATAGGTGAATAAACAGTCTTCTTGATTGTACATCTTTAATGAGTATGCATACAGCAGCGGGTTCTCACCACAAAGACTGTGTTGGGATAGATGGCAGGGTCCAGCACCTCCAGGATGGGGGACGGCATGGACTGGTAGTAGAACCCTAGTGGACCAGTGTCAGAAATCTACACAAGCAATGTCACATATCACATAGGTGATTATCTTAGCATGCATAAATATACAGGCATTATCATACAAGTGCATAAGTGTGCTGTACTTATTTTACAAGAAATAGTATCAGAGTTATGTAAAATCTGGAGGACAAACAAATGGAATAGTCTCTATTTTATTCAGACTTCATGGTCAGTGATAGTTAAGAAGTAGTGTTAATTACTATTTCCATATACTGAAATATTATAGTTTAATGATAGAAGGGTCCAGAATCACATGCCAATCACACTAGTCCAATCGGTTTTTAATGACACATTAAACTTTGAATTGTTAAACTGAGTTGTTATCTGTGCTTATCAGAACCCATCCACATCTATAGTCACCTTCAAATACATGATACATGAGTCATTTACTGGGGATTGTTTACGATGAAATTTGTAAATAATGTCACTTTTATATTTGGGCAGAATTTCATGCAAACTTTTGTAATGATGCTAATCATTGCCATCCCTGTATGGCCTATGCCATAGAAAAAAACAAATATCAAACCATACATCCAAGTGTACAGAAACACTATATCAGAATATACGGAATCATAAGAGGGTCATTGATTTATCAAACATTCATATGAATGTACATAAGTATTGTAAACTCAGGAATGAACACAAGAATGTAACATCTAAAAGGCCTAATATATTCAGTGTGTGAAATAGCCACTGGCCCGCTAGCCCATGGCTAGTAAAAATCAAGCCCGACTGGATAGTGAATTTTCCTGGGGTAATTTTGTACATATATCACCCTCTCCGACTTGTCAAGTTATAATACACTTTTAAATCATGCAAGATTATGGACTGATAAAAATATTCATCATATTAGCAGCTAAATGATGACTTTTTCATGTTATTTGAGCATAACCAAAATGTTTCAGAAATTCAGACATGTGTTTTTGATGGTATTTTACCTTTTTGTAATCTTTTGCTTACTTTCTACATTCGGCTAGTGAAATATTTTGTGGGCTAGTAATTTTCAGGCATAGTTAGCCCGACTGGCTTGCAAAATTTGGAAACTATTTTGCACACTGAATATATTAAATATAAATGTTTGAACAGATATATTGTAAGGTTCCTTGTTTCACTACACATGAAGCGGGATGGAGGGGTAGCCTAGTGGTTAAAGCGTTCGCCTGTCACACCAAAGGCCTCGGTACGATTCCCCACATATGGGTACATATCTGAAGCTTCTTTTGCCGTGATATTGCTAAAAGCGGCGTAAAACTAAACTCACTCACACAATACACATGAAGCCAAACGGAGCCTTGCCTGTTGTCTACTGGCAGGGATGAAGTCAAAGCTGAACACTTTCAATCTGGATTTGGTTGTGAGAAAAAGATGACCAGGAAGTAGCCACATCTGTCCAAGTTGACCATATGTACAGCGCTTGACCACATCTTCAAATACCTGTATGATAGAGAACAGCTGAATAGGTTAAATACAAACTATAACTTAAAGGGCCACTGATCCAGAGCAATTTCCGTGGACTGGTTGTTGCTTTTGTTATTGTTTTTCTCCAGTGAGTATCCGGATGATATCCCAGAAATCATGACTGGTTCGTTACCTCTGCTTCGCCACCCTCATGCGCAATTGATAGTATAAGCATAGACTGATCAACAAAGATGACATCTTTTTTACTCGATAATCTTATGTTGATTTTGTTGTAAAATTATGTAGACTTTGATGAATAATTTGGTTTCTTTTAAAAAAATATTCACTTTGATAAAAATGCTGATTTTGCTGTAAAATTTTTATTTCATAGTAATGTTGACTTTATAAAAATGTTAACGTAAATGGGTGTAGAATTTGATTTAAGAAATAGTTTGACCTTGAATTTGGTGAGAAGTCTGATACAATAGCATTGTTTTGAAAGTAAGGCTAACTAAGTACATGGAGAGTCTTGGGGAGAGTAGTGAGCTTTGATTCACTACTACTCAATCTGAATGTTGTATTAAATGGCATTTTTTTATAACAAATGAAAACATTTTAAGTTTAACCATGTGCCAGTGGTAAAAAATGTTAGGACTGAAATAACGGAGTCAATGTACGTCTTTTTATTTTGTCTTATGACCCTAATTAGTTTATTATTATAGGATATTTATATATATATATATATATATAACGCACATATCCATGCAACCATTGCTTGCTCAAGGCGCTGGTATTTGTTTCCCTCGATCATTGGATGTCAATCTCAACGTCACATCGTGTTATCAATCTCAACTCCCTGGGGAGTATACAACTCTTGCTGCCACTAGGCGCACCGAGTTTATTGTGGCTCTCGCATCCTAACGAGGTACCCAATTCACAGCTGGGTGGACTGGGACACATAGTCACAGTACTTTGACCAAGTTCACTGCACGTTGCTGTACCCGCAACTAGGTGTTTGCACGTATTCATGTGGCCACCATCTGGTCATATACCAACGGATTCGTGGGTTCCTTTTAAGTGCACCGGGTTGTGTATTGTACACTCGGGGTTGTGACAACACTGAAAGAGTCTGCACACAAAGTTGACTCAAAGGTTTTACACCCGGTCACAGGTGGGCTCGATCCCGACACCTCAACCTCACTGGATCACTAGCTTGGTGCTTTAGCCAGCTCGCCCACCGATTATTATCACATTTGTATGCATTTTGAAACTTAATAAAATGCACACGATCTGCTTATAATTAGTGGATTTATAACATGATTGTAATATCTATACATTTTATAGATCGCCAACGTGTATCATATTTCACACACGCCCTGAGAGCGACCTAGTGTAATAGGTCATATTTTTACATGGTTAAATATTGAGGCAAAAAACACAGAAATAGGATCAAATTGGATCAGTCACTATACCATCCAAACATTTGAAAATCTGAAGAAGCCTACACTGCTGGGATACTTTATTACAATCAGACAAGAACTACCGGGGATATTTTCAAATAACGGCATCTGATAGGCATCCACCCATCCTAATGTCCCACTGATAAGGTTGAAGAAATTCTGCCAGGGTGGACAGTAGCCCAGTCCCCGTGTCCGTCACGGTAGAGGGAGCAGGGGCTGACCAGTTTGCAGCTAGGTTTCGTAATTAGACTGTTGGCGAGAAACATTAATCGCTCTGGATCAGTGGCCCTTTAATGTAAACATCATATCTCATTCGTAATTAATATATATCAATTATTTGAATTCTTTTGCTTTGATACCATGATATTTATTGTGAACTGATCATGCTGTTTAAATTATAATACCTGCAGAAAAGATGTTCCTTAATTTGATAACGACAACAGAATGTCCAATACACAGACATTCATTGCAATTAAGTTCATTAGCCTCATAGATCTATATAGGTAAAAACGATAGATTGATAACTGTGAGTATGATTGAAATGTGTTAGTAAAACTTAATGTGACGGACAAGATCAGTGTGAACTGATAACGAAGATCAGTATCCGGGCACAGGTCTATTCCAGGCTATATTATAATTTTCAAAATCAGCTGACTTATACACATACTATCGATAACCAAAACAATAGCACGTGATGCCGTGATACGCCCTCACCTCGTTTCTGTAAACAGGGAAGAGATTTGTCAGTAATCTGCAGTCAAAAGTCATGTCATTCAGATAGGTGGATAGGCAGATGTTGGTTCCTCTTAGGCCACCCTGCCTCCTGCGCTGAATTCTGCAGTATAGGCACATATGCAGTTGACTTGAGGAAATGTTTCTGTTATTAAAAGGGACGTAACTCTAATTGTGGGTAAATGAACTCTGTTCCACCGCGTGCAGTAAGATTGGCTGCTTCAAGTTCAAATCCGCTCATTTTAACATATGAATTACTTTTTTAGTCTTTCATTGCCTAAATAATTACCAACAGTGTACTATGTGAAATTATTCAATGCTTTAATTATTGAATAGAATTTTTAAGAAAATCTTAAACTCAAATCCTCAGATGACATATATAGTATGTGACGTCACGAAACTTTATACTATTGTGACGTCATAATCAGTATAATCAGAGTAATCATTTGATAGCTCTTCACCCCAAATCTTCCTCCAGAAGCGATGGTGTGAGTATGGAGGAGGAAGATGAGGAGGACGACATCCGGGCCATCCAGAGATTGCGGAGGGAGCTGTACTATGAACGTGAGATTGTCCGGACTTTACACGCCTCAGCAAACCAGTGGAGGAACATTGTACGGGAGAATCTCGCCATGAACATACAGAGAGAACAGGAAGAAGTTGAATGGAGAATCAGGTAGTGTTAATTAAGAAAGGAAATAAAGAACAATAAATTCGAAAAAGGCAATCATTTATATATGTTACAGGGAATGTGTGAAACCAGAGACCATATGATATATGGTCTCTGGTGAAACCAGGGATTTCACGTAATCCCTAAAAGATTCAGTGATTTCACGAAATCACTGTGTCCCCCAGGGATTTCGGTGTACCCCCACTGTCCCCACTTTTCTTAAAACAACAAAATGCAGTCACCCGTAGAACAATAGGGGGATTAGTTATAGTCGGTTTCAAGGTAAGTCTGGTGACACCGTGACCAAAAGTCTGAACAAATTGGTGATCACATTTCAGAACAACTTGGTACACACTAACACATGTCCCAGTCATGTATATATATGGTACACACTAACACATGCCCCAGTCATGTATATATATGATACACACTAACACATGTCCCAGTCATGTATATATGGTACACACTAACACATGTCCCAGTCATGTATATATATGGTACACACTAACACATGTCCCAGTCATGTATATATATGGTACACACTAACACATGTCCCAGTCATGTATATATATGGTACACACTAACACATGTCCCAGTCATGTATATATATGATACACACTAACACATGTCCCAGTCATGTATATATATGGTACACACTAACACATGTCCCAGTCATGTATATATATGGTACACACTAACACATGTCCCAGTCATGTATATATATGGTACACACTAACACATGTCCCAGTCATGTATATATATGGTACACTAACTAACACATGTCCCAGTCATGTATATATATGGTACACACTAACACATGTCCCAGTCATGTATATATATGGTACACACTAACACATGTCCCAGTCATGTATATATATGATACACACTAACACATGTCCCAGTCATGTATATATATGGTACACACTAACACATGTCCCAGTCATGTATATATATGATACACACTAACACATGTCCCAGTCATGTATATATATGATACACACTAACACATGTCCCAGTCATGTATATATATGGTACACACTAACACATGTCCCAGTCATGTATATATATGGTACACACTAACACATGTCCCAGTCATGTATATATATGGTACACACTAACACATGTCCCAGTCATGTATATATATGGTACACACTAACACATGTACACACTAACACATGTCCCAGTCATGTATATATATGGTACACACTAACACATGTCCCAGTCATGTATATATGGTACACACTAACACATGTCCCAGTCATGTATATATATGGTACACACTAACACATGTCCCAGTCATGTATATATATGGTACACACTAACACATGTCCCAGTCATGTAATATATGTACACACTAACACATGTCCCAGTCATGTATATATATGGTACACACTAACACATGTCCCAGTCATGTATATATATGGTACACACTAACACATGTCCCAGTCATGTATATATATGGTACACACTAACACATGTCCCAGTCATGTATATATATGGTACACACTAACACATGTCCCAGTCATGTATATATATGGTACACACTAACACATGTCCCAGTCATGTATATATATGGTACACACTAACACATGTCCCAGTCATGTATATATATGATACACACTAACACATAGTCATGTATATATATGACTAACACACTAACACATGTCATCATGTATATATATGGTACACACTAACACATGTCCCAGTCACATGTAGTCATGTATATATATGGTACACACTAACACATGTCCCAGTCATGTATATATATGGTACACACTAACACATGTCCCAGTCATGTATATATATGGTACACACTACACATGTCCCACACATATATATGGTCCCAACACATGTCCCAGTCATGTATATATATGGTACACACAACACATGTCCCAGTCATGTATATATATGTCCACTAACACATGTCCCAGTCATGTATATATATGGTACACACTAACACATGTCCCAGTCATGTATATATATGATACACACTAACACATGTCCCAGTCATGTATATATATGATACACACTAACACATGTCCCAGTCATGTATATATATGGTACACACTAACATGTATGTCCCACACTAACACATGTCCCAGTCATGTATATATATGGTACACACTAACACATGTCCCAGTCATGTATATATATGGTACACACTAACACATGTCCCAGTCATGTATATATATGGTACACACTAACACATGTCCCAGTCATGTATATATATGGTACACACTAACACATGTCCCAGTCATGTATATATATGATAAAATAAACCCCGGCTTCATCATTCATCATCATGCTCAAGTTGACGTTCAGCACACTGACAATGCACAGGGTGGACAAACTTTGATTTGTTGGCAACTATAAGTGTAGGGTTACGAACCAGAACAATAATAGAGTCTAGATGCAATGATCTCATCTGGGACAACAAAGATATATATCAGACAACCCGGTCTGCTCTTGTGGGCACCACATTGAGAATTCATGTCATTATTCTTTACTTGTACTAAACATAGTGAAATCAGAAGAAGGCCTTCTTTTACATCAATGGATATGATCTAGAAACTATCTTATGTGGTAACAAGGTTTTAAGCAAAAATGTTGAAATGGATATATCAAATCTGTTCAACACTTCATAACTAAAAGCAATCGATTTATAAATGCTAGGGCAAGTTTCGCATGATTATGACTGCAAAATCTAAAAAGCTCTTGTATGCCTGTATGTTCACTTGTCTTCATTGCAGCACTTATCATCATATTGTTAATTGCATCTTTGCTTTATTTATCTAAGAACACATAACGTTAACAGTAGATTTCTCACCCTGAAGGATGATCTCCAGCATGAAAGAAAATCTGTTCTGCAATACCTTGATTGTGTCTCTCATTTAACTGGTGTTTCCAGATATGTTGATGATGTTATTGATGTTACTCATACTGATGTTTCCTAAGATGCATATCACTTGTATGTTATTGTTATTTCAAACTTATTACACTTTTGTCTTGCTGAGTTATTGTCAGTTGCATACTAGTTTATGCACTAAGTATGTATGACTTAACAGTTAAGTAGACTATACTTTATATACCACTCCCCACTAGCCTGATACAGACTATACCCTAATCCCTCTGTTGTTTTAACACTGCCCATTTCCAAAAGTGGACACAGTGGGAGTAAACCGGGATTTCATGTATTCCCTAAAATTTCAAGGGATTTCATGAAATTAACTGATTTTCACGGTGTTCCATTACACACATTCCCTGTTAGGATATCAGTGAATGTGTGAAATTAATGTGTGTAGCTTAAAACTTTACTGTTGAGTCTCATTTCATTTCTTAGTTCTCAGGAGTTGAAAACGTTGACAATTTACCGATGACACTTTGGCTAATTACTACCTTGAGTCGGGGTACCAAGTTAATGTAGTTAATTTACTCACGGCTTTACTGTTTAGTCTCATTGCATCCCTTAGCTCTTATGAGTTGAAAACGTTACTATTTACTGATGACACTAAGTCAAGCTAAGAGAGGGAAATCACCGGGTTTCGATAATATTCCAGTTGATGTTTTGACAAATGACATCTGTATAGATTATCTTCATAAACTGTTTTCTACATGTTATGAGACTGGTCATGTACCCTCCAACTGGGCCCAGGGGATCAGTACCCCTATCCCTAAGTCTGGAGCTGACAACCCGAGAGACCCAACGTCTTATCGCGGCATCACACTTGCTAGTGCATCTTATTGTTATGAATAATAATTTGTCGTTGGGTGTTGATATAACGATATCAAGGTTGTGTATCAATATTCCTTTTGTAGTTTCAAAAGTTACAGAGGTTGTTTTTAGCGATTTCTCTTAGAATGGAAACTGAAAGAATTTGCTTTTACTGTAAAGATTTTATTGAAGATGAGTGTCATGTTTTATTGCATTGTCCTTTATATGCTGATGAGAGATTGCGACATTTATCTAAATGTACAAGTCTTTTAGATGTTTGTTTTTGTAAATATGGATATGTTGAAAAAGTTCATTTTTATTTCTAGCTTGTCCAAGTGTATCGTTTTTGTTCGCCAAAACCTGCCTGATATTCTTAAAAAGGGTACTGCAAATGTGTATATATCTTCTTAATGTAACTTGTACCCTTTTTATTGCATTTTTAATATTGATATATTATACTCTGTATATTGTCTCTCATAATTCCGTACGGAATGGCTCAACATTTTACTGCGAAATAGCATTTAAAAATTTAGCGAGGTTTTTAAAAAATTTTGCTTTCCTTATTGAAAACAGACGTTTCAGTATAAACAGATTAGGCCATTGGGAAGGGAAAGGTATTTTTCAAAGCACATATTTCATGTTTGTCCCCAGCCTCTTCTCTCTACGAATGATGTGACAATGGACAAAGAACTGTTTCTCCACACAGCTGTGATTTTCGAGTCGAATTGTGGTGGTCAGGGTTTCCAGAAATGTAACTGTGGTCCTAACCAATGTAAATCGATACGTTGTAAATGTTTTAAAGTGCTACTGAAGTGTAATAGCTTGTATCATAACAGTCTATCTTGTCCAAACAAATTAATTTCATCAGCATATACTCTGTACTCGCATTATACATTTGGTGTTCTCTATTTCAATAAAGGCTTACAGGGATTTCATGAAATCCCTGATCTAATATTTCAGTAATTTCAAGAAATCCCTGGCAATTTTAGGGAATACATGAAATCCCTGGGGGTAACAGGGATTTCATGAAGTCACGGACTCTTTTAGGGATTACGTGAAATCCCCTGGTTTCACACATTCCCTGTAACATATATATTCATACAGAAAGTCATTCTGGATTGGGAAAATGCGCAGACTGCTTATATTACCCTCTCATTTGGGACCTTACCCGTGAAGATCCGGGTTGGAATTTATCTTCAGTAACCCATGTTTGTCATAGGAGGCGACTAACGGGATCGGGTGGTCAGGCTCGCTGACTTGGTTGACATGACATCGTATCCCAATTGCGTAGATCGATGCTCATGGATTGTCTGGTCCAGACTTGATTATTTACAGACCGCCGCCATATAGCTGGAATATTGCTGAGTGTGGCGTAAAATTAAACTCACTCATCTAGGAACTCTAATCTAGACTACAATTTGCCCGAGGCTTCGCTGGCTGAGTGGGTTAGATCGTTGACTTTGTGTGCTGGTGATTCTAGGTGCCTGACTCTGAGAGTGTGGGTTCGATTCAGGGATGAGACTCACCCTAACAAAAGTACTTTAGTCTGTACAAGCAGGTGCTGAATGATGCCTGGTGTCACTGAGCCAAATACTGAGACAGTTTGGTTTCAGGTATCAGTACCAGCGATCCTTCAACGAGATGCTGAAGAAGGTGATTGAGAACTTGAGGACCGAGATGCGGGAACTCCGACGAGGCAACACCGAGGCGAGTAGCTACGTGGTAGGCGACATGATGAAGAGATCCCTGCCCGAGTGCCGCCTAAAAGTCAGACATTTTGAAACCGACCTCAAGTCCATGAAAAGTGAGATGTTACAAGACATTGTAAGCTGTTTACATTGCATTGATATATTTCAGGATACGACGATATAATCAGTACTTTGGTACAAGTATTTCAGAGATAGGTGCATTGCAACATTCGTTAGATTATGTCATCTGCCATAAAGTTCCACTGCTGCTGTTCTTACACAAAACCTACAGCTTGCACCCAACCTCATTCTATATATACTTTATTCGCCGATGGAACTCTTGGCATTACAAGGTGTTTGATTGGATTATGGTCTCATATCATGGAGTCATAGTAGTGTAATACGAGACTAAGCGATATTTCCATCATAATGTTAAAGGTACGAATATTACAGGATGATCTGTTTCCCTGACTTGGGTAAATTGTCACGACCTGTAACACAGTTACATTTTAAAACGAATTACCAGACAATATTACCGCCAAAACATTTGCTTGAAACATATTGCTCGTACAACAGGATTGTAACCTTGCCTTTAAGTTTACAGCAAACTAAACAATTATTTGACAAATGGTCTGCAATATTAGTAGTCTCACGTAAGTAAATACGGAAAAAACAAAATCCAAGGGACAGATGGAATTTGTTTGTATATCCGTTGAACTATACCAGCAAAAAACCGATCCGCCATTTTGGACTGTCACATTATTCATAGTTCAGTACGCAAAAACGTGACTGAATATTTGTTCTTGAAATATAAAGTTTACAGGTGAAAATGACATGTTATGTACAGTTACTGGGACATTTACCCCAATCATCTCACAGTAGAAAACATTTTGAGCTTTGTCTTTAGCATCAATATTTCTGAAATAATTTATACATAAATGTGATCCTTTCGGTGTTGTTTCTGTAATAGGCATGTTACAATGTTGGTTGTGCACCGAATGGGACTACGTGTGCCCGAGATTTAAGTGATTCAACACACTATAACTTGGGCTGTTTATCTTCAGACCTACGGAACATGTATGAGCGGCAGCTGGACCACGAGTCTGTGGAATACTCCAAGGTCAAAGAGAAACGGACTGCAGTGTTCAAAGACCTCCTGTTCATGCAAAGTATATGCATTAAACAACAACAGAAATTTGAAAAAGAATATTTTGCCAAACTCAGAGAAAGACATGGTGGAATTCTATTTCGTGATAGTAATGTGTGTTTGGGGAGGGATCGACTAGAAGGTGTTAAGTCCCGTCCGTCTAATGTCAGAGCCAGAAATGCTACTATATGCAGTGGTAAGGATAACACCAAGAGGTTTGACATATTAGTCGACAGTATCGCGGCCAGAGCTTCAAGTACATCCGTTGATAACGTTGAGATGAAGGACGCTATTTGCACCAGAGACCAGGCAGCCTTGGAGGAGGTTACACACCATCAAGGCAGGACAAATGGGGACAAAACAAGCGTGCAATTTCAACGTAGTAAACATGGAAAACAACACCTCGAGAGAGTGACATACAATGATGATATATTCAATTTTTGATCATATTATGTTACTGTCTCATGTCCACCGTGCCCAAACTCCTAGCTCTTCGGAATATATTTGAACTGAAGAGGTAGTGAAATGTTTGGGCAGTCCCATTAGAATCAGGTGCTAACTGGAGCCAGAAGCCATTTCCCATTTTATAAAGTTTGTAATGTTGAATGAACTTTGTTCTACTGGATACATCACCATTACTGATTAGCAATCCCATGATGAATGTGTATTTTCTTTTGTGCCTCAGTATCATCCCATTTTCCTGCAACAGCAAATACCAAGCAGAACCAGAAAGATGTGTATACGAGTGGTTTGATAATATTGAAGTATGGCACTCCTACCATACATGTCTTGAGACCATGGCAGGGATTGGCGAGCTTGTTTGTTGTGGTTATCGTTCTGTTCAACATCAGGCATATTAAAAGACAAACACATGAACAATGTTTCATTTTTTATGCTTCAAGAATATACATTTCCTTACAAGAGGTCAAAGGAGTCCATATAATTAGAACATTAGCCATTTCTTACAAATACCAGATTTCTGATGAAGACCGACCTACTTCAGTTATGGGGGAATGAGTAAGTCAGATTGATATGGACATTCTTCCCCACACATTAAAACATACTGTGTGGCAACAAGTTCCTAACATCACAAAAGCTTATTAGATTTAGGATATGTTGGAAACTTACACACCTGCCCCAATTTAATAAGGGCTTGATCTCTCCAAACAAAGTGAAGAGTGGAGTGAGCTTTTAGCAATATTCCAGTAATAATATGGCAAGGAACACAATGGGCTTCACAACCCAAACAAAGATGTCAGTCAATTCCACCCATAACTGTGTTGTAAATGACAGCTTTTCATGTGAAAACTAATAACATCTTCAACTGTTCAACTTTAACTATCTAATTTTCAACTTGCCATCATGAAAATTACATTTTAAATCCTCATTAAAACAAATCTTTTTCAATGCATGATTGAAAATATTTGATTATTTCTAAATTTTATCCTCAATCAAATGTAACACGTTAGAATATAAAGTACATAATGACAAAAGTTAAATCAATATAAACAAATCTGATAGCACTTATTTATCATCACTTTACGTGTCATGTTGCATTAAATCCATGTTGGCATGACTGGTGACAAATATATTTCCCAACAGAAATACAACAGCACATGCTGATGACATTCTCCACAGAAAGACTTTAATTGTTCCTTGATGACTAAGAAAACAGAGCACTATCAATAGTCATAGCCCTTATTGTTCAAGTCATTATAAACATTTCAGCTTCACGGTCATTCACATTCCATCGAACACCCACATACTCAAGACATCCATCATTAATCACACAAAATAACAGAAATAACTGTGGTAGGCATACTTTCCTAAAACAAACTAGAATGAAACTGTTAACATGCCAATTATGTGCAAGTATGTAATATTCAACTGTTAAAAACATACTCCCCTAACCAGGCCGATTCGCTACCCTTTGGAATGCACCATTTATCACACAGTATCCTTCTCTTAGTTCAATGTTTTGGGTTTTCTCTATTTCCTGGAGACTCTGGATGCAAATCAAATTTGTACTAACCTGCCAGCCCGAGTCTGCTGGTCTGATATTAAAGGTAAGAATATTTGAGGACGCATTGCATCCTTAGTCTCTGAGATGTGTTACACTTGGGTGAACTGTGAGGAACTGTTATATCATTAGTTACAAGACAAGGTTACATCCATACGTTTTGCTTGATATATCCTGGCTGTACAATTACAGGTGACTAGCAGAATTGTAACCTAGCCTTAGGTTTAATTAGCACACTAAATAGTGATTTGTCAAAATATAGGAATTGTTGGTAGTTTTCTGGAACAGTAAAACATGGTATTAACAAACTCCCGGGAACATATGACATTTGTTTGCAATATCCGTTGTTTGTTACTTGCTTGTTCCGCCGTTTTTGACTGCCTCAGTATTCATACCACCATTCAGTATGCAACACTTCATTTGAATATATGCACCATGAACAGTAAACAACCATTCAATTTCAATATGTGCTACAAACTGTGGCTATATTTTCAACTTTTATTCATACCAACTTTTTGGTATTCCTGTGGAAAAGTATCAAAAAGGCAATATAAGAAACACTTAATACTTTAGCTGACTGACTGTGGTCAGTACATACCATGGAAACTGAATGTTGAAGTGTCCTTTGCATGCTTCTCAGCAAGGCTTTACAGAAAGTTACACATCGCTGGAAATAAAAGCAAGATGAAAGAATTTGGAAATATGTTCAGTGATTGCCATTGAACAAAGTATCGGTTTAAGAAATATGTGTTGCCGAAATGTCCTGTGAAACATACATCTGTTGTCAGTTGATACATGCTGACTCGGTTGAGCTTCACTAATCTGAAAGTGTACTGTACTGATGATGATTTGATTCCAATCATATTGTTTGATTCAATGGTGACTGACAATAATTTGCAATGTGCTGACCAGTCAATAACTCAAGGGAACATATTGGGGTGAAAAATCTACCCTTGCCTCAAATTCATTATACCAAATTAGTTACATGAATGTTCTATTATATTGTACAGAAAAATCAGTCAGGACTTTTGAAATAAATTGTTATATCTGTTATTGTTAGGTATTTTCGATCTCTGTTCATTATAACCATGTTCTACTGTATTTCAACATTCAAAGTAAACCCAACAACAGTATGGTATTTCCACCTGGCCTCGGATTACTTTTTAAGTGAAGCCTGACCCTTACCTCAGTACCTACCACAAAACATATTCATAACAACTACACTGGCTGGTATTGAACTTCTTTCAATAGTCCATTTGGGGAAACTAAGCAAAGATATGATAGCAGCCTGTATGTTAATACCAATGATGAGAAAACATTTATACAAGTGCAACAAATTGATAAGCAGGAGTCTACTTACTGCGGCTTTATATTTACTCTGTTGACTATATGCATGGAAACATGTCTCCAGCGGAAAAACAAGTGTGGAAAGTAACGGTATGAAGCAATGACGAAAACTGGTACACACTCCAGTCTATACTATTGTGATGGGTAACACTGGAAAATACTATTAGCGGCTAAATTGGTTCAAATTTGGCTTATTGACATGATTAGATGGCCATCAAAGGCCTTCTCAACACAAGATGAAATTTTAATTTTTGTATGCAACAAACTAAATTTTAATGAAATATAACCTTAAAAGATGATCATAACAGATGAGACTTTGGACAATGACAATGGTTATATGACAATGATCATGACAGCTGCAATAGATTAGAAATTTCTTTCAAAAAAATTATATTTCAATGAAAAATTACACAAAAACTGAATCACATATGCAATATTTTGTTAATTACACACAATTCTTGTCCACATGATCAATGAAATAACATTAAAATTTTGTTTGTCAATAGTTAACAATTTGTATTCACAAAGATAGGTAATAAAATATTTCAGGGACAGCTGATTTTTACCGGGTGCAATATTTTTGGTTTAGATGTGTACCATGTAGGGGACTGAACTTACAATGCCAGCTTGAGTGAGTGAGCCAGTTTACTTTTAGGCTGCTTTTAGCAATATTCCAGCAATATCATGGCAGGGGACACCAGAAATGGGCTTCACACATTGTACCCATGTGGGGAATCGAACCTGGGTCTTCGGCATGACGAGCGAACAATTTAATCACTTGGCTACCCACCACCCCATGCCAGCTTGAAGCTAAGCTAGGTTTATAAGATAACCTCATTGCCAACATTTTACAATGGGACAGGGGCATGATCAAATAATTATTACTTGTAGTCCTAGTGATTACCATCCAATCATTTGCCTTGATGTGTATGAGCAGGTGCATCTGCAAACCTTAATGTCTCAGTAAAATTCTGGATAGATTTTTGTCAAATTACACTCAGTTAACTTATCAAATGTGGTGAGATAACTACTAGCCCATATCAATACTCACAACACTAAGGATTGAAAAGTGATCTATCATTAGAAAAGGGTATCTTCTACCAAATGATCCAAAGACAGTGCCTGATCAGAAATGGTATCCACTGTCTAAAGATAAGAGATAACCCACCATCCCTGGGAGTTAAAAAGCTACAACCTGAAGCCTAAACCAATCAGTACTATCATGTAAGCTGCAACCGGTAAACTGCAGTCCTGCTATGTTTTATAAAGTCCAAATCTCCAAAGCTATATGTTAGACACACATGAATATCTTGGGATCTGTCTCATCTTCCTTTTATCTCCATACAAAAACCTTCCAGCACCAAGATGAACTGTCTTAGCACCTCTACTTCAACTGAGACATTGCAGAACAAGTCTTGATAAAGGTCCAGTAATTTCACATTTACATTATGCACATATGAACACCCATCCCTCTTCAGGACTTACTTGGAGGCAGTCAACCTGTTACACACTTCTAGGTGCTCAGCTAGTTTGATATGGACCAAAAAGGCTCTACAATCCCTTTGTTTGGCACCATGTCTTCTACTTAGTATTTGAGACAACTTAGTAAAAACGGCCCAAGAATCAAAGATGCTTATGCTTCTCACCGTTTTGAAGACTGTTCTAATCTACTGCAGTGGGTACATGTGTTTACACTTAATGACAACAATGATGGCATGAACCTTTGGTATGTAGTTTACCTTCAGGTGGAACCCATGAACGAGATGTACACTAGTCATACAGTATCTGCAACATGGCATTCCATCTAAGGTAACCACAATATGAGCATATGGAGAAGACGGGTTTGAACTTGGATCCTTGAGTACATGGGTAAGCTTGGCTCCAGACATGGCACAAATATCCACTGTGGTCGGACCTAATGCAATCTTTGGACATGTTGACTAACAATACGTAACTTCAGTTCCTGTTGTACAGCAAAATGTCGAAGGAAACTAATTTCTGTTCCACCCAGCTGTTTACATAAAGTGTTATTACACCATGAAATATAAAGGTATTTAGCATGCTGACGCATGTGGCACTGTCAATACCTATATCTCAAGTCAAGCCTACTCAGGATAAAGGCATCTGCTTGCACCATGTAAAGGTATCCTGTCTGAAAGGAATTTAAGTTTGCATTTGTGTAATGAAGTTGTTTACAAAAATAATTTTGTCTATGCTTTCTGTGTATGACAACTAGTCCATCTCAACAGAAAGCATATCAAACACACATTACAATTTGACGATACGGTCAAACTAGTCAAGGAGAAGCTTGTCTCCCAAGATGTCATAGTCAGGTCAAGGTCACTGGGTTAAAGATATGTCGCAACAAGTTCCTCTACATTTCCGGCACCCCAGTGGGTCAGCTGGTCCTGAAATTATCAATTGAAAAAAACAACATTAACCACATCACCTACAAATGATTATATAAGGGAAGAAGTAATTCTGTAGCTAATTTAATTGTTTCTTGATGTTAATGTCACATGATGGAAAGTAACAAAATATGATGAAAGTGTTTAGAAGTTAACACACAACAGAAATATCCAATGCACATTAATTACTGAGATATAGCAATCAATGGCTGTGTAATGGGGCAAAATTACATGTGACTGAGTGTCAGAGGCTTGTAAAGACAATTCTCAGTGAAAGCAATTTTGAAAAGGTATGCTTGCTGTAGTCCCATGGCTACCCATGAAGTCCCAAAATGGGGCAGGGTGGGCAAGCAATTTAAGGTGTCAGGCTAGTGATCCAGTGAGCTTGAGTTGCCGGCATAGAGTCCACCTGTGACCGGGTGTAAAAACCTTGGAGACAACTTTGTGTGCAGACTTGTTGTCACAACCCCTAGTGTACAGTACACTACTCTGTGCACTTAAAAGAATCCTCAAATCCGTTGGTATATGACCAGATAGTGGCCACATAAATACGTGCAAACACCTAGTTGCGGGTACAGCAATGTGCAGTAAAACTTGGACAAAGTACTGTGACTTATGTGTCGCAGTCCACCAAGATGTGAATGGGTACCTCGTAAAGATGGCAAAGCGACATTAACTCAGTGCACCTAGTGGCTGAAAGAGTTGTATGATCCCCAGGGAGTTGAGACTGAAATATGATATACCCTTTGGGTTTGACATCCAATGATTGAGAGAAAATCAAAGTGCCTTTGAGCAGCTGAGCTGGATATTGGTGCTATACAAATGTTAGTATAATAATAATGACAGTCAGTTGTACCTGTGGTAGATAGAGGCAGACACTGGACAACTTGAACACCACGATCTTGTTCTTGGCAGTCTGAAATACAGCAGAGAATACTAGAGAGGGCTCTGAGGACACTGACTAAACTGCAATAGTGAAAACTACACGTTAAGTCTTATGGTTGGTACACCATATTAAGTTAATCCATCCAACAACCAGATTACTAGGTAGCCGTATTGAAGTATATTCTCTTTCATTTGACAAACACCACTGAAATTCCTCAAATTATTTGATTAATTTCTTATGCCATATTATCATTGGCTATAAACATAAAAGATTCAATGGCCTAAAACTGACTTCCTCAATCAAAACACAGTGCCAAAACGAGCATGTACCATTTCAAGTTCTGACTGAATAGCTTACCTGAAGCTGCTGCTTGTCTATGAAGAGGAACATGGTCTGGGATGGGTTGTTGATGATGAGCCCCTCTTTGTCTCGCCGACTCACCAGTCTCATCAGCTGTCTTTCATAGTCCAGGTGACTGAACAAGAAGCTGGCCTGCCACATACAAATACACTAATCACCAAACTGTAAGTTTGTTGTCATACTGGACATGAAAATATCCACAGAAATACATGAGTTAAGGATACCTATTCTTTCCTTGAATCCCAGGGGAGCCAAAGAAGAACACTTGATAATCTAGTCATATCCACATCAGTAACATTATACCTTTACAGTAATGCCTTTCTGCTTCAAGGGTAAGTGTCAAAACATAATTAAGAAAGTGAGAGTGCCTTCAAGCAGTCAAACCAGACAGAACAAGTACACAGCTTTTATAGCAACAAATAGTCACATCAGCTGTTGAAAGTATAACAAATGAACTACACCACCAGATTTTGATGGTGTTAATCAGACATGTCACATACAGTGTATATCAGAAACGTATCTTTGATGCAACAAAATTGCTTAATATGATGATCATGAACGGAACAATGACAAAGTTATAGAATACATAAACAACAAACATCATTGATAGCACAAAAACATGATATTAAATACCTGCAGTATGTGACTTAATCAACATTTAGTCAAACCAGCATTCTGTGCACCTATTTTCTGCAACATACCTCAATACGTTTGAATGGGAGTTGGTCTCCCTTCCAGCGAGAAAAGAGTTGACACTCAATCCTGTCAATGTCACTTCTTGGCCAAAGAAAAAAGTCAATCTCTGTTGTACATCCAATAACATCCTGAAAAGAATATTGTGAGCATACAGTAACAAACATTTTATGTATGCATGTTCAGCTCTATGACACATCTATGCACTTAAGATGATCAAAATGATATATAAAACACACTTATTTCATGTACAACCTGTGATTAACATGGATTTTCCAACTCTCCATACAATAGAAATTACATCTGAAAACTTCTCTCAAATAGGATCCTCGCAGATTTTCATGACGTTTACCAGTTATATCCCGGAAAAAGCTAACCATGCCATTTACTATGACCAGCAGACTTGCCTAAGTGTTTACACTCACCCTTCTCATGGACTGCCACCTAGGAGCATGCAACTGAACTACATCTTTGTCTAGGAGTTCTCTGGAGCTTTCATAAGAATAAGCCTCTTCCTAAAATACAAAGTATACATGCTTCAGGTTTAATAGGGTTCTAAAAGTGCATACTGTTTGACATGTAACTTGTGTTGAAGAATAGGGTAGCTGACCATGATGATGATCTTCCTTATAAACTAGTCAAGATCAATCTTTGTTTTCACTTGCTGCACAAGTTCATTTTTCAGCTGCAGGATGAAGCAAGAACAGAAATAAAATGATTTACCTTTGGTTACCAAAGTAGGAAGTGTTTCATTGGATTCATTCACCGATCCAGTCAGTGTCCAACAATATTTGCAGGATTTGCACATGGACAAATCCGACAATGCAATAGCAAGTAAAATTAATAATTGGCATTTACACTCAGTGATCTTCCAAGACACAATTCTCTGTGTATACTGTGAGTGAACGAGTGAGTTTAGTTTTACGCTGCTTTTAGCAATATTCCACCAGAAATGGCTTCACACATTGTACCCATGTGGGAAATCGAACCTGAGTCTACGGTGTGACGAGAGAAAGCCTTAACCACCAGGCTACCCCACCGCCCCATCTATACTGTGTGTATCAGTAGAGAATAACACAAAACCTGAAGCCATTGGAACAAACTAGAACTGCAAACTAGGATACTAGGGGTGGGGGTGGGGGTGGAAAGTGCTTGAAGACTGTACTGTGTCTGAAGTACAATGTTAACTGGACATCAGTGCAAGGATGTACAAATGCCATGCTTGACCCTGTATATCACTACTATCAGTGAGTGAGCTGGACTTAAGGCTGCTGTTATTCTAGCTACAGCATGGCATGTCTACTTAATGTGGGAAGAAAGCCTGAAATGAAGCAAGGTGTGAGATGGGTACCAGTTTGGTGTAAGGCCAAATAAAAAAACCCGTTGTGGTTCCGATTACACATCTTTAAAATTCAGAGTAGGAAGGTAGGAATTCTTTTTTTTTTTACATTTTTTTTAGAAGTAAAGTATGAACTAATTACACATTTATTAATGTATAATTGTTTATTCAATCAAGCTTGCGGCCATCATGTCGACTTTATCAGAATGACCGATGTACATTGGTGCCGGGCAAAAACAATGGTATCTGAAAGCTTATTTTGTTCATACCTCTTAAAAAGCCTAGGGTCGGCACCAGAATTCAAGGGTTGGTCAGGTAATCGGAACCACAACATTTTTTTTAGGTCTAACCCATGAACTCAGGATTGGTGCTGACAATCCTGGATACATACTTGGGGTGAAATGGGATTCAAACCTCAATCATATTTTTCTGATCAATGACAAATCAGTTACGTTTTGTGTAGGCTAGTTTGTTTCCAGTCTCATTAAATCCTATATTTAAGATTCATTTATACAATACTTCTCTGCCTGAAGAGCTGACAGATCCACACAGAGTCCTGTCTTGTGAACAAGCAGCAAATTGTTTGTCCATTCCCAATGAACACTGCTTGAGATATTGAGCAAATTAAATATCAGATAACTCCTTATTTGTTTGCCTCTTTGAGAAATTTCATAATGTCGAAAGAAAAAAGCCATGAACACAAACATACCCTCAACAACGTTTCCCTGACACAAACTCCAATGGAGGTAAGGAAGGATAACAATATATGGATGAACAACTTCTTTATTGCTGTGAGAGCGACGTTTCGGTGTAGGTTCTAACACCGTTATCAAGCAAGTGGTGCCTTTAAACCTTCATGCAGAGGCCTTGCATCAAAGTAAAAGATCTAAATTTATAAGGAATGGTATTGGTAATGGTAAGCTTCCTGGTTAATGAAATTCCTTTGAGTTACAATGACTTCAAATCATCACTCCTCACCTTTACACCTTTGAGAATACTGTCTTCATAGTTGTTGGTCATTACCGGAACAACTTCTGCTACTTCAAAAATAGCCACCTTTTTCTTCTGAAAAAGTAATCAGTTAAATATTATCTTTCATTTTACACTGTACAGTAACTAACATTTAACTCAGTCACAAAGAGATTACCAGGCCAAAACTATATTCAGATAATTTGATCTTGTCATGTTGAACATATATTGTTTATACATTTATTTCATATATTAGTGAGGAAGCAGGGGAATACTGAAATGGTTTCAACAGTTTGAGCCATATTCCAGAATAAAGTTAGTGATGGATGTACAGGAAACTTCTGCTGTATATAACACATTGTGAGTGAGATCAGAGACATGTTTATATATTCAGCATGCAGGGGTACAAACTATTGGATGACAATATATTTTTTAAAAATTGTGACATTTCAGAGTTTCACAAAATTGAGTTTTGACTACACAAGGTTTCTAATGGCATCACAGTGACTAAGCACCAAAAGCTATAAAAGCTCAGGTGTATTGTGCACACGTATGTATCCCCAAATGTCATTAAAATGGAAAAATGTAGGAAGTAAAGTAATGAAAGTTACACAACACTATTAATATTAACATAGTGATTTACAACGAATATATATAATAGCATAAACAAATACTTGTCATTGTAAGCGGAAATATATTCCAGAGAACATATTGAAATTCTTAGACACTAATAAAATGGATTCACCTTTTCTTTGAAATGGAAAATAATATACATCTTGAACTCAAAATGGTCAGCAAGCGACTCTCTTTTCTTTCTAAGTTGGTGTCGAAGCCTGCTGACGGCCGCACTTTTCCGTGCATGGGGATCCCCCATCTCTAGTTCTCTACGCGTCCAAGTGGGTATTTTGGTTTACAGAATCATATTAGTAGTTGTTTATGTCAAGTTTACCCTTCTCGAATGATGTTGAGAGTTATTTATGTGCATTTCCATGGCTGACAAAGAATTATTTGACAATAACACTCGGCCAAAGAAGGTGACGGACTCAACAGATAGGCCTGTATTTGTGGAAGGCTGTGTCGCCAGTCTCTTTATAAGCGGGGTTATGTACACAGTGAAGATTCTGACGTGCCATGGTTCGTGAAGGGGCAAAGATTATGAAGTATTAGAGTCAATAAATCCATCGCGAAAGACAGATAGCAACGCTGATCCACTGGTCAGTGGAAAATTACAGCACACTGCAAAACAACACTATTCCTTTCCTTCTCTTTCCGCAAATATGGCGAACGAAGCCTCGTTCTGGAATATCAATTCAAGGGAGGTTATTCAACCTCACGTAATCATGATCTAATATGAGTCAAAGAACTGACAGGTTCGTATCCTCCATTGATGATTTCATTTCTATTTTACAGACTACACATTAACAAAAAACAACCCAACAAACCTACAGCGAAAACAAAATTCGAATTGTTATAGTGTTATAATTTGCACTGATTTTTTATGTCAATGACAGGAATTGTTAAGACAAGATATATAAAAATCAACTACAAGTGCTGAAATGCAAAGTCCACGGCTCACCCCATTATAAGCATTATGACGAAGTGGTGATACTTATTATGAGGCTAGGAATCTCTTTCAATGGACATGTACATGAGGTAGTTCACTTTGCTATCTAGAGCGTGTCTCAATAGGAATGGTGAATGAAACAGACTATATTTCTAGCAACAGATGATATATTAAAAAATATGTCACATTGTCAAGGAAAACTTTTAAACCTATGCATCAGAACCGGAAGAAGAGACATTTACCGATCATCACGCGCCGCGCACTCGATGCTAGCCATTCACAGAAGACCTTGCTTTTCTTTTTGTAACATATTGCTGTGGGTTGAACAGTTTCTTACTGACAGGATGCAGTTTGTCAGGGTGAATTCATCTACATCATCTACTATAAAGACAAATACCGGTGCGCCACAGGGCTGTGTTCTATCACCTGTATTATTTATCTTGTACACCAATGACTGCATCAGCCGCAAAACTTATTGTCTAACGGTCAAGTTTGCGGATGATGCAGCCCTGGTAGGGCTCATACAGAATGAGGATGAACAGCAGTATAGAGATGATATAAGTGACTTTGTTTCATGGTGGGAACATAATTATCTTCAAGTGAATGTGAAGAAAACTAAGGAACTTATTATTGACTTCAGAACTAAGAAGAACACCAAGTTGCCAGTTATAATTAACAATGAACCTGTTGAAACCGTAAATGAATACAAGTATCTTGGTACATATATTGATAACAAACTGAATTTTAATGTAAACACAGATGCTATATTCAATAAGTGTCAACAAAGGTTACACTTCTTGCTCAAATTGAGATCTTTCAATGTTAATCAATCAATTATGTGTCTTTTCTATCAGTGCTTTATACAGAGCGTTCTGGCTTTTTCTGTACAATGCTGGTATGGAACCTTGTCCCTTAATAACAGAAACTGTCTCACCAGAATAGGTTTATTTAGCCAGTAAAATTGCAGGTGTATCTTTTGCTAACCTAACTGAAATATATGAAGAAAGAGTTCTCAAGTCACCCCGTAAGATTATATCTGATCCAGATCATCCCATCTACTATGAATATAAATTACTGCCTTCTGGACGTCGTTATAATTTACCCCGTTTTAAATCCAATCGTGCCATGAAATCCTTTGTTCCTGCCAGTATTAATCTTTTAAATGATTCCTAGTGTTTGTCTCACCTTGTTAGCGTGCTATATGTGTGTTATTTATTGTATGAAAATAGTTTCATCATTTTATCAATGTTTGAGCTCTGTACTTTACACAAGAATTCCCTCACGAGTAATAAAGTATTGTCATTGTCATTGTCATTACAAAACACGCTAAAGCATGGAGTTACCTGCCCTTGAACAGTGGTATCTAAGGGTGTGACGTCACAGACAGTGACGAACTGCGCCACATGCATGATGCCGTCTTTGAGATTAGCGCCAGATTTATCGACACATCTACGCGATATGCCGTCAATACCAACTCTTCCTTCGAGGTAAGTGTTCGACAACTTTTATAATGTAACAATATACAGTCGAAAGTAGAGGGAACAATTTATGTGCTATGATATTTAGTAAGTATGTAAATTAACTGATTGTAAAAAGTCCCCCCTCATTTGAGTATTTCAACATTATGTAGCCAGTACGTGTTCATTAATACAGTGCATACATAATACATGCATAAACTATTTTCCTGAGTGAACTGTAACCAATTATTTACCTTTTGTTTCAACTTGTTACGAAATTATGGAAGAAAAGAGACAGAAAATGAAAAACATCTTAAGTTCTTTTCCAAACTGGAAGTAACAGAAGGCGCGGGTTTTCGCTTGCTTCAGTTTAATCAAAATACTGTGTTTCAATGTATTGAACTTATCTTTGACCCATGTAGTGTGTGCGTATTTGAAAATGGTATTTTGTTTCTTTTCAGGCTGCTTTTCAACGAGATTGGGATTCAGTCTCGAGTGAACTATGTCAGAGGTACATTTACTTTATAGCTAGTTTTACAAAAGAAATAATGTATGTTGAGGGAAAGGCCGGAAATAAATATGAATGAAATAAAACTGTCCCAACAGAAACAATACACCCAGTATCCATAACGTTTTAATTGCAGTCTTTTAAAACTAATGCCACCACTTTTAGGGCGGTATGTAATCAATACACTTATGCTTTTTTTCAGATATGATAACTGACCAAAGTCACATGGTCCTTATGATCTGCACAATTGTTTTTGGAGGTGGTAAGTATATTTTCCATCTATTTCTGCGACATATGTATAAGAGGCTATTTAATGCGCGTCAACATGGAAGAATTATTTTCTTACATACTTCAACCCGAACTGTATCTTCAATGAAGGAAACCCAAGTTCTATGGATAGTCAACTTCTTTGACTATCCATAGAACTTGGTTTTCCTTCATCTATACAACTTCTAAATATGCCTCGCAAAGATGTATCTTCAATATTTGGCGGAAATAAATTTCCCACTGTCTCACCCTGTGTGTTTAAAAGCAGATACACATTGATGCCTTACAGCTTGTGTCAGCACGTCGGGATCTTACGGATCTGAAGCTTTGTTTTGTAGCTATTAAATGATGCTGTATTGAAAATGGTGGGTTCTTTTCGTTTTTGTTTTTCACAAATATCGAATTATGTTTATACCTTTTCAGTGATCATCGTTGGCATCTTCTTGGTTGTAAGGTTATGTGTACGAAGATGCCGATCCGTTGTCAGAGGTCGCCACAGCGTTCGTGGATCTATTGATGCCGCCGAGAATGGAAATGCCGACGACATTGTCTCCCTGGCGCCACACGAAGATTTCACTCTGGCTCCTAACACCTCGTGGTGGGAGGTCGTGGAGAAGAGAGAGGCGGAAGACCCAACTTTCGGTCAGGATGTGGTGATAGCACCAGAGTACTGGGTAGAAGACGAGGTTTTGAGTTATGACCCAGAATACTGCCTGAAGCCAGGCACCCTCTGGTGGGAGGTAGTGGAGGCCCAGGAGAAGTCTGGGAGCTGAAGACAAAAGTAACTTCCGGGACTAATGGTCCCCGGTGACACATGGAAACCAGGATACAAGTTAAGCTGTCTCACGGACTGACATCCCGGACACGTCGAGCTCATTGTTCATCTCGACATGTGATGGCATGATGTCTGGACGAAGCTGTGAAAACCCGTTCCTTTGTGAACACAACTGTGGCAAAACTAGGTCTTGGTATGTTCATACCAAGGAGACTTTAAACACAGATCTATTGGGCTGTGTTCCCAAAGTGTTATGAAAGTATATTTGTATGCTATCTCATTTATTTGAAAATATGTCTTTCATGTTATGTACTTACTGTGCAATAAATCCTGTCTTGTTACGTTATCATGTATTGTCAGATTGTTTATCAATATCCAGACACTAACGCTTGGTGAGTCTGTTGCAGATTTCTACCAGCATTTTGATGGCTTGCGATCTATAATAGACAGACGCTCTAACAGTAATACATGGCCTTACGGTCGTTGATGTTTCTGAAGTGACGTTATAATGTGGGCAATAATCAGCCCAAATGGAATTTACCATCAGAATAACAAATAGTTGAATGTTTGTGGTTTATGCATCATCGAGGGTCACGTGAAGAAACAGAATTAGTTCGTGTTCTATCTAATGCTTCCCAAACGGATAATTTTCAAACTGTGTGGCATATGCTAGGGTTACACTATGTCCCCGGCGGCCACGGCGGCCCCATTTCCCCGAAACGTAGTGCGGCGTGGGATTTTTGGCATTTTTTCCCTCCAAAGTCAAGTTTTGTTAGGTCCGTAGACCGTTTTCTCTCAGTCTATCGCGGTATCTGTGATGGGCCGTTCGGAAATACAGGCTGCTGAGTCCTGGAAGCTCAAAGGCGCACTACGGTTCAGCCCACAGTCCACTACGGATGCCACTACGTTTCCCCCTCGGCCTGTCGCGTTCTGATGGGTACCCTCACGTTTCTCACGTTATCAAGGTTTTGACACGTTTTGCGCGTTCTGTCAAGACTTTCTACGGATGAAACGTGGACGCCGGCCAGCTTTGGATCACGTTTGTGCACACGGTATATAAATAAGGCCTCCCAAGTAATAGCAGCCATTGTATCCTGAGACACAAGAGCAGCATAAAAGTGTTTGTATGTTTGCTGAGGGCATACATCGCGGCCACGGCAGCCACGTTTCTCTGAAACGGGGACAAAATGGGATTGACGTGAGGCAACGTGGGGGGACTGAATGAGAAAACAGTCCGTCATTGCCGTGGATGCCGTGCCAGATGTTGGTACGGGAGGCATGTGTATTCCCCGGCATCTCGCGATCCTTTCACGTTTTGTCACGGTCGGCAACGTTTGTTTGGCGTTTTGTCACGGTTGTTTCGCCCTTGCTGCCCATTTTGTCCCGGTTCTCACGGCAAGCTTGGTTGTATGGTAGCCGGTTCGTCCCGTTCTATCACGACTCATCCAGGCGTGTGACGGTTTACAGAACAGGCGAGATACGGCACCTTGCGTTCTCTGGCATTCCCTCTCTGCAGCTGATGATCGCCTTTTTCCTGATGCAAGGACTCGATGTATGCCCCAAGCAAACATACAAAGAATTTTATACTGCTCTTGTGTTTCAGGATACAATGGCTGCTATTGCTTGGGAGGCCTTATTTATATACCGTGGGCACAAACATGATCCAAAGCTGGCCGGCGTCCACGTTTCATCCGTAGAAAGTCTTGACAGAACGCACAAAACGTGTCAAGACCTTGATCAAAACGTGAGGGTACCCATCAGAACGCGACAGGCTGGGGGGCAAAGAAGTGGCATCTGTAGTGGACTGCGGGCTGAACCGTAGTGCGCCTTTGAGCTTCCAGGACTCAGCAGCCCGTTTTTCCGAACGGCCCATCACGGATACCGCGATAGACTGAGAGAAAACGGTCTATGGACCTAACAAAACTTGACTTTGGAGGAAAAAATGGCCAAAATCCCACGCCGCACTACGTTTCGGGGAAATGGGGCCGCCATGGCCGCCGGGGACATAGTATAACCCTAGCATTAACATAACAAAAGTGATTGCTGGTGGGTCACGGTTTCTAGAGAAAGTAAGTTTGAACACATTTATGAAACTGCATCACCATATAAAACGGTAACGCCAGAGAATAATAGATTCAATGTTATATGATGTCGTTGTAATGGGCGTTAATGCTCGACTACAGATTGGCTGGCTTGACCACAGTTGCAAACTCGGGATGCCCTCCAGGAGCATGTTGCTGACAGACCCGTTGTTCCTTCCACGTTGCAGGATCTGGCAGACGCCATTGAATGTGTTTCCTCCAGAGGAGTAGTATACACAATGGGGCTACGGGACCAGGTCCCCCCGAGGGTTCAATCTAAAAATTGAGCCCTTGAGGAGTCCCTAATCCCGTAGGCCCATTGTGTATACTACTACTGAGGTACATGCAAAATCTGATGAAAATCGGTCGAATAGTTTCTGAAATATTAACTTTTAAGTGAGCATGGGATCGGTCGGGAAAAGGCAAAATGTCCAACTTTTTGTCGTAATTAAGTCTTAATTGATCTAATGAAGTCATCGAGAGTTTTCCCAATGCCGTTTTGCTATAGCGTAACAATCTGCCGAGATGCATGCAAAATTTCATGAAAATCGGTCAAATAGTTTAGGAAATAATCACTTTTTAGTGAGCATTGGGTTGGTCTGGCGAAAGGCTAACAATCCAAATATTGTCTTACTTGTTATATATTATCGAGGCGAGAGGTGTTTTTAGCTGAATGAAACGCAGGTCTCGGCAGTCATCACCTCGCTACCGTCTCGGGGGTTGCTTTGAGCGAGCGCCGTGACGAGTATAAGTGTGTGTGCGCGTGTGTGTCTCGGCTCGTCTATGATGATGCACGACCGGCTGACTAGCGAGGCTACAGATGTCTGAAAGTGATTGTACAGCTGGCTGGCCGGCAACGTTAAGTTGATTTCCACTAAATCATACCGCATCTCTCGGCAGTTCCCCGGGTTGACTCGCTGCCGTCTCGGTAGCATTGAGTGAGCGCTGTGGGCGTGTCGCAGTGTGTGTGTCTCGGCTCGGCTATTTACCTACAGCTCGCTGAGATGGCTGGCTACGTTATGTTGATGTCCACGAAACAGTTTATTGTGAATCTCCTTCTATGATTTGTTTGGTTTTCGTAATAAAGGCTTGTGAGGCCTGTTCCTTCCCTTGTTCTATGAATTTTATTTTCTCCCCTCGCTGATGATGGCGTTTTTACGAGACTTGGTTCGAATCTCTTGTTTCATTCTGTGATATTTTGAGATTTCTGATAGCACCAAACGAAACTCTTCCTCGGAGATTTTAGAGTCGGTGAGCACAGTGGAAATATGATCGTTTATCGTGTTTAACTTTGCTTCGGCTAGAATTCTAATTTCGTCGTGTTTCAATGCTCTACGTTGCAGTCTGCGAGATATGATGGGTCAATCCCATCAACCCTGCCACTCCGGCTGTTATTTCGGTGCCTAGCACCACGGGTGCGGCCACGATGGTGGATAATAACCCGATACCTGCTATGCCTAATCCCATGCTGACAGAAACCAGAGCGCTGTCAACACCGTCCACGGAATTGACGGCCCTGTGATATTTTTTCTTCAAATGCCAACCGCATATCACTTTCACATTCTATTTGTTGTTTGATCTCGCATATCTGTGTCGCAAATTAAACCCGTCTACAGTTTCCAGTGTTTTCGCTACTTCATCCAAGACTGGGTACAGTCCCATCCTGTGTGTGTATATTTATATTTTTTTACAAACTAATATTTAATCGGTTTATATGAGACTGATAACGTTTAGATTATCGTACATGTAAATATTCGAGACATGAATTGAATTTTTTTTCTATAACACGCACTCCATCGAGGCTTATTAAGGGTGTCGATCCCGGTCTTATGACGATACAACACCATTGGTGATTGTGTCTGGTGTGCCAGCGTATTATC